GCTTTTCAACCTGGTTTTCCGTTTAACGAACAACACGAGAATTCTTTTTTTTCTTTTCTTTTATTGGAGATAATTCAATCTCAGAAAATCTCATGGAAATTTGGAATGGCAATCTGATGTGTCAATTTTACGGAAATCTGATGTATCAATTTCATGGAAATTTCACGCGTCAATTAAACGAGAATAGAAAAGGCAGTTTCATGAAAAATGTGAAGTTTTAAGATTTCATATTTGCTGAATATTATACAACTCCAAATCAATTGCTGTAGCACAACGGAAATTTCAGAAAATCATTAAAATACATTATTTTAAAGATATTTTTCAGGAAACTAAAAAAAAAAAAAAAAAAAAAAAAAAAAAAAAAAAAAAAGGAGAAAGGGTAAAAGAAAAGGCCAACTTTTGGAAAAGATCAATGTGGTGTTCCTAAACCTTTTAGTTTGTCTCAAACACTTAGAGAAACTAAACCTGGTCATCAGGGGGAAAAATTGATTTTGAAGAACTTTATTACATCAAACATATATTTCTTTCCCTGTAATAAAAAAATAGAGGCTAAAATTGTGGCCGAATAATTGTGATAAAAAGCTGTAATTTGAAAGAAAAAAAAACTATTTTCAGAAGAAAACAAAATAGACTTTGAATATCCATGACTAAAATGCTTTAATTCTATACAGAAAAAAAAAAGAACATTTTGGGCAGGAGATAAAATTCTTATAAATGAATAAGTAACTTTAAAAGAATGAGAATTTCAGTTCCTAAAATGTAAAAGCCAACCCCTATAAACTATAGGCGACATAAAAAAAACTATGAATATTTTTCATCACACTCACAGGCAGTGAAACATTTATGGATTTTATTAATATAATTATATTAGTTATAAAATAAATTATATTAGTTATAAAATAAATTATATTAGTTATAAAATAAATTAGATATTTATATGAATAGTACTACTTTATGTTACCAATCATTACTTTTGTCTTTTATCATGGCTCTAATTGAAGTTTTTCTCCTTCTTTTTTTGTAAATACTTCATGATACCATTTCATTCAATTCATGAAATTGACACAAAAAATCAATTTATTTGAAAAATGTGTATGTTATCAAAATGTGTTGCCTTTATGCATTACCTCTATGGGATTTGTAGTTAAAAAATCTCTGTACATGTATCGCAGTTGTTGCCCTAAAACATAGAGTTGCAATTTTCCTAGCTGAAATAAACAATAAATTAATAAAGATTTTCATAAATAAGATTCAAGTAATATTAATTTCTAGGTGCTTTCATTTAACTAGTTTCGTACATTTATATATGTATTTAGTCATTTATGAAGTTGTGTTTCTCAAACTATAAGCATTTTATAACTAAAGAACTAACTAAAAAATGTATATATTTGTATAATAATTTTCTCTAGCCTTTAGGAAATTCGCTTGGTACAAGCACATGAATAATTTTAACTCTAAAAAGTTGATACCCTAGACACGCTACTCTGCACTACCCTACAATCATGGAAGAGACACTTTGAGTTTTTGACATTTTTCTTTAAATTTCTCAAGAAATACTTAAAGGATTATTTTATAACTTTAAAGATGTTTAGTTCATGCGATTTTTCATACTTAGCAATAAAATGTAAAGCTTTCAGAGGTTTGGGAGACCGACAATAAATTATGAAATAAAACAAGTATTTTTGAGCATTCTATGCCAGAAAATAAAGCAATAAGCTCGTAATTTGTATAGGTTACTTAAGATATTATTTTTAATAACTGCATAAAATTTCGTAAACCTAGAGTAAATTTTTACGGAGTTATAGACATTTTTATAAAAAATAATTTTTTTTGTCTAATTTTTTTTCACGATAGCCTTATAAATATTCAATAGAATCCAACAATATTTTTGGAGCAATTTAAAACTAATTACAAAATTATTTATTTAACATTTAAAAAAATTCATTAAAAACTGCTCATTAAAAAAGATATAAATATTTAAGGTAGTTCTTTTATACTACGAGTGCAAGGTTAAATTTAAAAACATTTTTTTCTTAATTTTACAGAGAATCGTATTTGGCAACTAATGAAAAAATTTTGATTTAAATGTCATAAAAATTTAAAAAGTTTCAAGCGATTTTCAAAGTAGTTTTTGTACTTTTTGATAGAAAGCTAAAGACAATCAGGGGTTTTTAACAAATTTTATTTTGCACTATAAAACAAAATTAAATAACAAATAAGAATACCTTATAATAATCGTGAACAAAGAACCAAAATATGATGGTATAAAGAAAGACAATATGCGATAGAAAACATACTTTTATGGGGGATGATCCCCCACAATACCAGTCTCATTTTTAATAAATCTTGTTTAATAGTAAAAAATGAAATTTCAGGAAAACCCCTGATCGTTTTGAGCTTTCTATCAAAAAGTACAAAAACTACTTTGAAAATCGCTTGAAACTTTTTAAATTTTAAAGATATTTAAATCAAACTTTTCTCATTAGTTGCCAAAAACGATTCTCTACAAAATTAAGAAAAAAATGTTTTTAAATTTTTCCGTGCATGCTCAATATGAAAGAACTATCCTAAATACTTGTCTCAGTTTTTAATAAATTTTTCTTTAAATTTTAAATAAACAATTTTATAATTAACTTTAAATTGCTCAAAAATATTCATCATCTTTTAATTGAATATTTGCAAAGTTATAGCAAGAAAAACATAAGACAAAAAAATTAGTTCTTTTTATAAAAATGTCCATAACTCCATCAAAATTTACTCTAGATTTAATAAATTTTATGCAGTTATTAAAAATAATAACTAAAGTAACCAATATAAGTCGCAAGCTTATTACTTGAGTTTCTGGCATCGGGTATAATACTGGCAAAAATACTTGTTTTTTTTTCTTCCGTGATTTATATTCTGTTGCACAAACCTCTGAAAGATTTAAATCATAATTCTAAGAATGAAAAATCGAATAAACTATACATCTCTAAAGTTGTGAAATAATCATTTATGTATTTCTTGAGAAATTTAAAGAAAATGTCGAAAACTAAAAGTGTCTTTTCCATTATTGTAGCGTAGTGTAGTTGTTACTCTAGAAGTTGGTACTCCAAAAAGTATTAGTTTGAGGATTTAAGTTCTCAACCAAGTCTTAAAGTTTTTTTCCGAGTTTTATGTATTTAATCAGATTGCGAGACTTAAATAGAACTAAAAAAAGTTAGAAACAATAATAAACGCATTAAATAAATTGAATGAGTTTATCTTATGAATATTATCGCATATTTAGGCTATTCATTTGTTTAAGCATCGATTATCATGTATAAGGTTATTTTGTTTACAACTCGGTATCATTCTAAATATTGAAAAAGTTAGAAACCGATTGTCAGTAAAGATAAAACTCTGCAATCAATAAATATAACTTTTTAAAGATTGAATAAACTGCGTTTTGGAATGAAATAAACATTNATTGGTAATAGAACAGTAAATATGACATAATACAATGAGTACATTAAAACATGAAAATGGTATGAAATGAACAACGAAAAATTATAATTTAAAAGTTACATTCTTATCTACATTTAAGCTCTTAAAAAAATGAAAGATTTCGTTTCTTAATTCTGTGAATAAAACTTGAGATTTGATCTCAATGGTTTATTATCACAGTCTTAAGTAATGCATATTAGTTAATGGAGTACTATATAAATAATATATTTTAGATAAATCTGTGATTTAAAAAATATCATGTGATTCAAATAAAGTTTTTTTTTTAAAAAAAATTAAATATTTTCAAATCATTCCAACCCTGATTTTTATTTTTTTCGACATTTCCCACATCAGTTCTTGGGGATTGCCCTCCACACACACACTCACAAATCGGCTGTTGTATCTTTACTCCAGCGCCATCTACAGTAACGTTTTGTAACAGTCAGAGTCGCAATAAACAAGCTATAAAAAGGTTGTGGTGGTGCTCTCTCTCTTGTCGTATTCCAATACTAGCATTTACCAGATTTAGAAAAGTTACTATTTTTAGGATTTACCAGCGATATTACAGTCCGTTCTAATTAGAAGTGAAGATTCATGGATAAATTACCACCCTTTAGTTACCCCGTACCAACATCGGCAACAGTTGAAATTTTTTATGCAATTAATTTCTATGACGTAGAAGTTGACCAAAAGTTCCATGTTGTTATTTGGAAAATTACACTCCTGATATAAAGGAACATTAACTGAAATTAAATTCACAGATGAAAATATAAAATATAATAGCTATTATAAATTATGTATCCAAGGAATAGTAAAATTATATCCAAGATTTAGCAAATGTAAAGAAAAACTTGTGATAAAACTATTAATCGCCAACTCGCCAAGAAGACTAAGACGGTGAGTTCACGTGGATATTAAAACGTATGAAGATAGTAACTGCTATTTGTTACTGTTGAGTAACAAATAACTGTTGAGATGTGAGATAACTGTTGTGATGAGAACTGTTGAGATAACTGCGATAGTAACTGTTGAGTAATACCATAATTTACACGCAAATCTTCATGCCTCAAGTTTTAGTAAAATACATTGAAACACGCAAGCATTTTATACCACAAAGAAATTAATTGTGGTTTTTGCATCCCAGCATTTTTAACTAGCCAAAGAATATTCCAGGATCTTATCTCCCCTAGTGTGGGATAAGATAGTGAGCTCACTTAGTTGTTGAAACATATGACAGCGACCCATGTGCTATCATATGGTTCAGGTTCTTGACCACTTACTCTATAGGGAATAAACTTTTCTACATTCTGAACAGCTCGTGTTGGAGAACCATCGGTAGATTTATCTTTCGAACACCGTAACTTCTTTGTGGTCAAGAGCTTGATTCAAGATGCCACGCATCAAGACTCGAGGCAAAAGTTGCTAGCGGGTGGCCTTACTTTCAGCCAAAGATAGAGAGAATGAATTTCGTATTAAACCTAAAAACATGAATGAAATTTGCACTAAAATAGTTGACAAGTATATAAATAAGGTACCTTATGCTTCGCTATATAAGCTTGACCTTCCGGGGAGTTAATTATTCTTTTCTCCTCCGCATCTGTTGTAGGACAGAAGCTCCCCGTGTCTAAATCCTTAAAGAGTATTTATATTAGTAGAAAAATAATTTATTTTCGAGGCGTAACCAGCTTAGGAATCAAAAGAAAATGAGTGAAGTTGAGATTACAAAACATTAAAGTGGACATTACGCAATAGACGCAACGTTTTGTTCGTCTATATCTAAATATACAACTTTTATAATTTAATATTTTAGAAAGAAACTATTCGACCGATTTCATCCAAATTTTGTATTTTGTCATTCAAAATTACGCATTTTAAAATGATGTAGAAATTTGCCGTAATTTAAATTTTTTTCATATTTAACAAATAAAATAATAAAAAATTAGCAAATAATTTTTTTTTAAATTCTTTTTTACGTAATAATTTTTGGATAAAAAAAAATTTATAATTATGTGAAAAATTTTTTGTATTCGCCTCAAAAAATCCTCTAGTTATTAACGTTATGCGTTCCAAACTTTCGAATTCATACTCTCGAATTCGTATTCAATTTTTTTTTTTTTTTTAATTTTCACCTGCCTAAAACTATTGGGACCATAGAGCTGAAATAAAAGTGGAGCAATCGTTCTGTTATATATCTACATCCCTCGTCGTCCCTAATAACATCAGAGTCCCCCCCTCCCCTCTCTTTCAGCAATTTTTACGGAGAGCGAAGGGCGTCGCGTGACAATTGAAATGAGTTCTCTTTTCTGATAGATTATTATAACAGAATATTATTATAACAGAAGTTAAAAATCAAAGTATTTTCTATTAAACTTCAAAGTTTTTTAATTGTGAAAAAAGTACTTCCTAATTAACTAATAATACTTTATCTTTGTTAAAACTTATTTTAATAAAAAAAAATTTCATGTTTAAAAAAAACTACAATTAATTCAAATAATTTTTATTATTGAAAGTTTGTTCACTTTTATTAATTATTCTTGTGATATATAATTTACAAATTATAAAAGTATGTATCGCATATTAAAATTCATCGTTAGAGAGCGATTTAGTTAAAAAGTTTTTTATTTAAGATAATTTTTTTATACATTTATAAACTAGATTTATAATTTAACATTGCGTATGTGTTTTGTAAAAGATAGTTTCCTCAAACATATATTTTTAATTTTCACAATTTATTGTAGTTACAAGCATCCATAAATTAATTTTACAGAGAATATAAATTTATTATGTAATTATTTATAATGATTTATAACTTACAGATATATATACAGATTAATTACATTACATAGATGGCAATTAAAGGACAGTAGAATTTTCAAAATAGTATGACTTTTATGCAAATTCTCTGTCAATGAGTAAAATATTTACGCATAATTAATTTCAGAGTTTTTTTTCGTTTTTTTCTTTCATTGTGAATGAAACAAAATAAAATAGTAAAATATGTACTTGCAATAATCATCTATCACTTCTTAATATAATCTATCATTTCTGTAATTGTAATTTGTAATTTTATTTCAACTTTAGATCTGCTATGATAGGATAAAAGAGCCTTAATATTTCTGAAAGTATTTCCAATTTTTTTATGTATCATTAAAATTTTTAAAAAATCAGATGATTTTGATTGTAAAGTACCTGATAATTTCATTTAAGAACTAATAATCAAACGGCAAAAATCTCTGATTTAATTATCGAATCATTTTGTATTAATCTTTCATAACTCTTCTTTTGTCTAAGAAAATGTATGTTATGTTCATTTATATAGTAAATAAAAATAATTGTAATTCCACAAAGTGATAAATGACGAAATCTATAAGGTCGTACTTAGACAAATTTTCCTTTACAACCAAATGCAACACGGTAAATCCCACATTTTAAGATTTTTGACTTCTAAATTCAGGCATTGATTTTCTTCCAATAAAATAACAAGGAGAAACGGAAGGTAGAATTTCTTTCACCACTCACCCTCAAGTCATGTTTTATTCTGAGGAAGAAAATTTTCTTGATGCGCGTGCTCTACTATACATCATAGCTCTATGATTGGGACCTGATTTTTCAGGTTGCAGCTACTCCCGCCAGCTCATATTTTGAAGATCAGAAATTTGAATCGGTCGACAAAAAGGCATGTTTTTCAGAGAAAGTCCGTTTTTGCGACTTATATTGTAAGATTGAGTTCAAGTACTTGAAAATTCGATCATTAGATCAAAAGTTATTTTTGATGCTCACTTTTTTTTTTTAGGCTTTTGGTGTCGTAATGTTATAATGTTAAAGTATTGAAATGTGAAGCATCAAAATTTTTTTTTTCCAATTCAACGAATGAATTGTTGTGTTTCTAGACAAAGAGACTGATTTTTAATGGTTTCAATCTTTGACATCAATAAAGATGGTATTTGTCAGTGTTCTTTTTAGCTAAATTTCTGTTCTTTAGTTAAATTTTTGTCTTTTTAGCTTTTAATAGATATTTTTTAACTTTATTTTTTTTTCAAACATTTGAAAAATATGTACTACAGACGTCAAAACGAAACATCATGAATTTCTAAACTATTTTTGAAATAATAAATTTTCATTGAGTTAAAAAAAAATTAATAATACGCTGCAATTATATTTAAAACAATTCTGCTTTCCAACTTCGCATTTTTCGAAGTTTCGCACCTTGTTGGAAAAAAAATATTGCGCAAAATCGCCTCAGAATTATAAAATGAAATGCAAGGTTTCTTTACTTTGTCGATCTCTTTCGGGACAGAATGTACAGGTAAAGGCTGCCAATCAACATTTTTGCTGAATTTAAATTCATCAGTAGGGGCATAAAAAGATGCAAGGAATGATTCAGTACTTTCAAGGCAACGATCGTACTCAGAGCTATTGACATTGATCTAAGGGAAATAAAACAAAAATTAATATTTTGTGTTTTAGCTATGAAAACAAGATAAGATGAAAGACACTTATTAAATGCCTCCTTAAATCGTGACTTTTTCTTTAAAGTACTGTGACAAGAGTACAGAGTTGTTTAACATGCAGCACGCATGAAACTTAAAATTTCAGTCTTGTTTTTTACATTTATATTTTATAATCTTTGCTCTCTCCTACCTTCCCATCCATCTATCTATCTATCGATCCAATGATATTTCAGAAACTATTCTCCCAACTTACAAAAGTAGTGGTCATTAGAAAAAGAGAGAGAGAGAAAAAACAGCAATAGTAATACCATTTCATACATAGATTATTTTCGAAAGGTGTAAAATATTCTATACAAATACGATTTTTTAACAGCTACATTATCTCGCCAAAAGCATTCGAACATCCACCAAAACAAGTGAATCTGGTTCTAAGGCGTTTGTCCTGGCCCCCTAGTTTATGCGATTGGAAACGCATGTGGACTTTCTGAACTATGCTGATCTCTTAACTCTATGGCAATATTTCATAAGACGGCACATTTCTCTTCCAGTAATGTAATTGCTCCATTCACATATCGAGACTTGCGCCTCCATGATTGGACAATAAGGGTATACAAAAGCTGAACTGGCCATTTCAGAATTCCAATTTAAGTTCCATAGAACACCTTCACTGCCGTGCAATTGAAAAATCAACGCAAGCGACAAAGAATTCAAATTTGGGATTTTTATATATTAGGCATCTTTATATGGTAAGCTGCATAGTGCAAAAAAAAAATTATTTTTCAAAAATAAAATTTGTTATATCAGTTTTTCGAAATTCTATATTAGCGTTCACAGCATTGGCAATACAAGGAAAATAGTTATCAAGTCACTTTTCTCGGAATCAATCGTGAAGCACTTACGTTGTTTTTTTGAATTGCACGGCAGTTTAATACGAATAAGAATGCAGATTCCATAACCGGGCCAAACTAGATCACGAACTCACTGCCAGCATTTACTTTAATTGTGATGGACACATTCATATGGTCAGCTATCAAATACTGGTGGAAAGTCTACAAAAGCATGTGCAGGCGGACTTACATGATATTAATTTATGCTTTGGGAATATCTGAGTCCTGCATCACTGGGTGTCCGGGTACTTTTGGCCTAATAGTGTGTAAGATATTATATATAAGATTGCTTCTTATTTAAGAAAAAGTGAATAGTGGTGAGCAGATTATAATTAAGAACAGTAAAAGCTTTATCATGGTATATTTCACTTGTTTTTATTAATCAGTACAATAAAAGATTCCAGTCATGGATATTTTATTCTTCCGGTTTTCCATTTAACAAACAACACGAGAATTTTTTATTTATTTATGTATTTTTTTTTTATTGGAGGTAATTCAATCTCAGAAAATCTCATGGAAATTCGGAATGGATATCTGATGTATCAATTTTATTGAAATCTTGATGTATAAATTTCATGGAAATCTGAAGCATGAAATCTGACATGTCAATTAAATGAGAATAGTAAATGTAACTTGATGGAAAACGTGAAGTTAGAAGATTTCATATTTGCTGAATGTTATACAAAATAATTGCTGTAGCACAAAGCTGAAAGTTAAAATTTCAGAAAATCATTAGAATACATTATTTTAAAGACATTTTTCAGAAAATAAAAAAAGGGGTAAAGTGTAAAAGAAAGAGCCAACTTTTTTTTTTTTGGATCAATGTGGTGTTCCTAAACTTTTTAGTTTGTGTTAAGCGCATTAGAGAAATAAAACCTGATCATCAGTAAGAAAAGTTGATTTGAAAAAATTTATTACATGAAACATATATTTCTTTCCCTATAATAAAAAAGCGGGGCCTAATTTGTGCTCGAATCATGTTGATTAAAAGATGCAATTCTTAAAAAAAGGAAAAGAAAAAAATAAGCTTTGAAGTTCCATGACTAGAATGCTTTAAGTCTGAAAAAAAAATGAACATTTTGAGGACAAAATAGATAGGAGATAAAATTTTAACAAAGGAATAAGTAACTTTTAGAAGAATGAGAATATCAGTTCTTGAATTGTAAGAGTTATTAATAAAAAATTATGATTTTTTTTTTAATCACACTCACAAACAGTGAAATATTTATAGATTTCATTAATGTAATTTATGTTAATTATAAAATAATTTTGATATTTATATGAATGATTATACTACTTCATGTCACCAATCAATACAACTTTTTTTTTTTATCATGGCTGAAATCGAATTTTTTCAACTTTTTCTTAAGTACTTCATGATACCATTTCATATAATTCATAAAATTGACACAAATAAAAAATTTATTTAAAAAATGTTTAAGTTATAAAAATATTGTTTGCAAAATAGGATGCCTTTATGTATTACCTCTATGGGATTTGTAGTTAAAAATTCTCTGTACATGTATCGTAGTTGTTGCCCTAAAACATAGAGTTGTAATTTTCCTAGCTGAAATAAACAATAAATTAATAAATATTTTCATACAGAAGATTCAAGCAATATTGATTTTTAGGTGCTTTCATTTATATAGTTTCATACATTCATACATGTACAGTAGGGAACCGATTATCCGGAACGATCGGGACCATCGCTATTCCGGATAACTGATTTTTCCGGTTTTCTGAATCGTTACAAAAACCCGTTTTTTTATTGTTAAATCCAACTGAAAAAAAAAATTGGAAATATCTTAAACAGAAGAAAAAACGATGAAGTAATACACTAATTATTATTTCCAAAATGATGGTATGGTAAACATCTTTAAAAAAAAACGAAAAATCCTAAAATCTTATGAGGAAAAAAAATTTTTTTTAATTAAAAATGGCGGGAAAATTTACCGAATTTCGTTCTGGTTTTTTGGTTTCCGGATAACGGGTTCTGTACTGTATTTAGAAATTTATGAAATTGTGTTTCTCAAACTATAATCATTTTGGAACTAAAGAACTAACTAAAACATTGATATATTTGTATAATAATTTTCTCTAGCCTTTCGGAAATTCGTACAAGCACAAGAATAATTTTAACTCTAAAAAGTTGATACCCTAGACACTTGTTACTCAACACTACCCTATAATAATGGAAGATAAACCTAGAGTTTTTGACATTTTTTTAAAAATTTCTCAATAAATACTAAAAAAGATTATTTTATAACTATAAAGATGTCTAGTTCATGCGATTTTTCCTACATAGCAATAAAATTTAAAGCTTTCAGAGGTTTAGAAGACCGACAATAAATTACGGAACAAAACAAGTATTTTTGAGCACGCTATGCCAGAAAATCAAGCAATAAGCTTGTAACTTGTACTGGTTACTTAAGATGCTATTTTTAATAACTGCATAAAATTTCGTAAACCTAGAGTATATTTTTACGGAATTATGGACATTTTTATAAAAAAGTAATTTTTTTGTCTAACGATTTTTTGCTATAACGTTATAAATATTCATAAGAATCCAACAATATTTTTGGAATAATTTAAAATTAATTACAAAATTATTTATTTAAATTTTAAGAAAATCGTTGAAAACTGTGCAAGATATAAGTTTTTAAGGTAGTTCCTTTATACTGCGCGTGCACGAATAAATTTTTAAAAAAAAATTCTTAATTTTATAAAGAATCGTATTTGGCAAAGAATGAAAAAAATTTTGATTTAAATATTATAAAAATTTAAAAAGTTTCGAGCGATTTTCTAAGTAGTTTTTGTGCTTTTTGTTAGAAAGCCCAAAACGATCAGGGGCTTTCAATAAATTTTATTTTGTTTCATAAAACAAAATTTAATAACAAATACGAATACCTTATAATAATCGTGAACAAAGAACAAAAATGTGATGGTATAAGGAAAGACGACATGCGAAAGAAAACATACTTTTATGGAGGATGATCCCCCACAATAACAGTTTTAATAAATCTTGTTTAATAGTAAAAAATCAAATTTCAGGAAAACCTCTGATCGTTTTGGGGTATCTATCAGCAGGTACAAAAATTACTATGAAAATCGCTTGAAACTTTTTAAATTTTTTGAATATTTAAATCAAACTTTTTTCATTAATAGCCAAAAACGATTCTTTACAAAATTAAGAAGAAGAAAATTTTTTTTTAATATTTCTGTGCATGCGCAGTATCTAATTTAAATACTTATATCTTATCTAAGTTTTTAATTAACTTTTTTTTAATTTTAAATAAAAAAATTTATAATTTTTTTTAAATTGCTCCAAAAATATTGTTTAATTCCATTGAATATTTATGAAGTTATAGCAAAAAACGTAAGACAAAAAGTTAATTTTTTATAAAAATATCCATAACCCCATAAAAATGTATTCTAGATTTACGAAATTTTATGCAGTTAAAAATATATAACAACTTAAATAGCCAACACAAGTTACAAGCTTATTATTTGATTTTCTGGCATAGAGTGTTCAACAATACTTCTTTTTCTTTTTTCGTAATTTTAAGTCGTCAGTTTCCTAAACCTCTGAAAGATTTAAACCTTTTTGCTAAGAATCAAAAATCGCATAAACTAAACATCTCTAAAGTCATAAAATAATCTTTTATATATTTCTTGAGAAATTTTAAAAAAATGTCAAAAACTAAAAGTGTCTTTTCCATTATCGTAGGGTAGGGTAGTTGTTACTCTGGAAGTTGGTACACCAGAAAGTATTAGTTTGAGGATTTAAGTTCTCAACAAAGTCTTAAAGTTTTTTCCGAGTTTTATGTATTTAATCAGATTGCGAGACATAAATCGAACTAAAAAAATGCTAGAAACAATAACAAACGCATTAAGTAAATTGAATGAGTTTATCTTATGAATATTATCGCTTACTTAGGCTATTCATTTGTTTAAGCATCGATTATCTATGTATAAGGTTATTTTGTTTTCATCTCGGTGTCATTCTAAATATTGAAAAAGTTAGAAACCGATAGTCAGTAAAGATAAACCCCTGCAATCGATAATTATAACTTTTTAACGATTGAATAAACTGCGTTTAGGAATGAAATAAACATTAACTTGGAAACCTATTCATGTTTTTCTTCCGCCATTGATGAAAGACTTGCGTTTAGCTTCATATGGTTAATTATGATAATTATGAATAGGAACTATAGAGCAATATGGGGGGAGGAGCTTTTTTTTAAGGGGGTTAATTTTGTAACACACTTCTCGTAGATGATCAGTTGTATATATGTTATCGCGCAAAACCTGGAAATTCGTTAATGTCACTTTACCCAGTTAATCTGCAGATTTACTGATTCGTTCCGTTTAAGTGCCGAGTCAGGCGTTTCCGCATTTTACCTAGGTAAAGCCCATTAACGGCATCTGTTTCGATGCAAAAGTTTATTTCTCAATTTCTTGTAATTATATTCTAATTTAATTATCATAATTATTATTTTATTGCAATGATATTTTTAACCGTTTGATTTGTTGATAATCGTTATTTAATTGATTGGTTATTGGACTTCATCTAATTTGTTGATTTGTATCGACTTGATCCTTTAGATATCGAAAACTAGATAAATAACATGTTAATGTAAGCTTGCAGAAATGCTGTTGCTGTTCCTTTAACAGATTACCCTAGTTAATTGGGCAAAACCTAGATAATGAACTAATTGATTGAATAACTGATTTCTGCACTTTAAATATGCATTGAAAACTTTTTCCGCTCGTTTTTGAAGAAAGTCATGAAAAGAAGGTATACAAATATGATATTCGAAAAACAGTTTTGGGCTTAAAATTTGATTTCTCAGGAACTATTCGACCAATTTCGATTAAATTTTGCATTTAAAATTGTATATGGTGTAAAAATTCGTATACCTTACTATTCAAAAAATTTTCGACTCTTCTTAAATAAAATAATAAAAAAATAATAAATAATTACTNTAATTTTGAAAATTTAGTCACTCAGGACCACTTTTCGTGGAATCGCCCTTTACCTAGCCAATCTGCAGATTTACTGATTCGTTCCGTTTAAGTGCTGAGTCAGGCGTTTCCGCAATTTACCTAGGTAAAGGCCATTGACGGCATCTGTTTTGATGCAAAAGTTTATTTCTCAATTTCTTGTAATTATATTCTAATTTAATTGCCATTAATTCAATTATCATAATTATTACTTAATTGCAATGATATTTCTAACTTGATGATATTTCTAACTATTTCTAACTTGACTTCTATTCTTGATTTGTTAATAATTGTTATTTAATTGATTGGTTATTGGAGTCCATTTAATTTGTTGATTTTTATAAACTAGATCCTTTAGATATCGAAAACTAGATAAATAACGTGATAATTTAAGCGTGCAGAAATGCTGCTGCTGTTCCTGCAAAAATCTTATTTTCACTTAAGCGAGTGCCCAGTTAGGTAATGTGCAGATTATCGAGGCAATTTGAGAAATGAAACAATTTCTGGCACTTTAACAGATTACCCTAGTTAATTGGGCAATACCTAGATAATCTGCTGAATAACTAAGTATTGCATTTTAAATATACATTGAAAACTTTTTCCCACTCGTTTTTGAAGAATTTCGTTGGAAGGAGGAATACAAATATGATATTCGAAAAACAGCGGAAATTTTGGGCTTAAAATTTGATTTCACAGGAACTATTCAACCAATTTCGATTAAATTTTGCATTTTGCCATTCAAAATTGTATATGGTGTAAAAATTTGTATACCTTACTATTCAAAAAATTTTCGACTCTTCTTAAATAAAATAATAAAAAAATAATAAATATTTACTAAAGATGTATTTTGCATTGAATTATCTTTGGATCAAGGAATTTTATAACTATGTTTAAGAATTTTTCAATTCGCATAAAAAGTTTCCGAAATACAGCGAAATGCGCAAATGCGCAGAGAACAAAATTAACATTGCAAAAAGTAAAATTAACATTAGGGTGTTAAAAATTTGGGCTGTTCTCCTGACCAAACAACTGGGATCACATATTTCCCAGATTGAGGGTACCCTCTAAATTTTAACTGTTAGAAATTCGAATCCATCGAAAAAAAGCTATATTTATTCAGAGAAAGTATGTTTTTGAGTCTGATTTCATAACTTAAAATATCGTCTGCACTAATTATTTAGCATATTTGAGATTACCTCCTCAAACCGTTAAGATTGAGTCATGGAACGTGACGATCCAATCATTAGATCAAAAGTTATTCAAGGTGATCCGTTTATTTTTTTGTTTGAGGACTCTACATATTTCTTTCAATTAAATTGCACTTTTAGTATTATTACTTTTCAAGTCCAGTATTTCTTTATAATTTTCATACATTTTCAAATTATCACTTAATATTTTATGTCGACCCGCATCGATCGTTTGCAATGAATGGAATATGAAAAATGATTGATTGAGGTTCTAATGTTTTACACTTCGAAACATAAAATTATATAAAAAAGGAAACAGTAAAAATTGCAGCGACTAAGTTTTAGATCTTACCTTAGTTAAGGCTCCTAAGCCACCAGGCCAGATAGATACAGGATTAGGATCAGTAGGATAGAGTCTTAAAGGAGCGCGATCTCCGTGTCTGAAAAGCTGCACAGACGATAACAAATTATGAATACAATCAAGATTTAGAAAAATAACAGTAAAGTTTTGTGAAATGGAAGTGAAATTGACCACTTACTTAAAGAAATCCACATAATAATCTGCAAAATTCTAGGTTTTAATAATTTTTGAACTCATGTGATTGATGCATGTGGCTAATCCTTCGAATTTCTTGAAACTTAATATACAGGAAAAGCCAATCTTTAGATCAAAAATTCATAATGCGTTCTAGTTCTTATTTCGCGTAAATATATAAATAATAATTTAATGCTTAAATGCACTTTGGTGATAAATTAATAATACTATTTTAAGCAAGTATTAGTTTGGGTAATCGTGTATCAAGTTAAAATATTCATAATTTAATTACTTTTAAATTTTATTTATAAGACATATGAATTAAAATTCACTCACATTTTTAAAAAAACTGCTCAAATCAAAGATTTTTTTTAATAATTTTTTTATAATGTATACATTAAAATTGAAAAAAATCTTAGTATGTTTAAAAAAATTGTTGTTTAAACCGGAATTTTTGTCATTTGTCATATCTAACTCATTATAGGTTACAGGGCTACATTTCATGTCCTAAAAATAGCCATAATTATAATTTTTCTGTAAAAAATTTCATTATTTTAAAATTCATAATTTACTGTCATTTTATTTTTATTTAACAAACTTTATATGAGTCGTTTAGTTTCAGAACTCGCTAAGCGCCGTCTATATTGTTTTATTTATTTATTTATTTTTACTTTATGTGCAAAAAACTTTTTTTTTACAGATTTGACATATAAGTTCCTTTCAGATAATAACTTATGTTAGAGCCGCGATGGCTCAGGGGATAGAGCTTTCGCCTTCCAATGAGGTGAACCGGGGATCGATCCCGGCGATGACTGGTTGATACGAATTCCGCATCCGGCTTGCACCGACCACAGTACTGACGTGAAATATCCTCAATGGTAGGTGGATCATGGGTTAGAGTTCCCTTGCAGCCAGGCTAACCGTGGGAGGTTCTCGTGGTTTTCCTCTCCATGTAACGCAAATGTGGGTTAGCTCCATCAAAAAGTCCACCACGAAGGCAAATTTCTCTCAATACTGGATCCAGGAGTTTCCTTGTCTTCTGGATTGGGTTAAAAACTACAAGACTACGGAGTTGAACATTAGTAGTCGTAAGCCCATAAAATTAGGTTGGCTGTTCAACTACGGTTATTAAAAAAAAACTTATGTTCTATTCTTTATATTTTACAGAAAATGAAATTACTTCTACTACAGAAGTGTTAAGGTGTCTTAAAACTAGACGACTCGTATGAAGCTAAATATCCTACAACAATAAAATGACAATAACTAAGTATAAAAAACATTTTAAGTATTTAAAAATAAAATTCGATTAACAAAAATTAAGAAAATAAATATTTTTTTAAATGAAATACTGAGTGTTTCATAATTCCCATCCTGAATATAGTCTTTTAAACAACTTGCCAAAAGTAAAGTAAAAAAAGTAAATACATTTGGATTCATTAATTAATATTTTTTAAACGTAAAAGAAACCAAAACACTAGTCAAATTTGTCAAATCACTCATAAAATAATGCGAGATAAAACATATCTAAACCAGTTTTGATTGCCTGTTTGAAACTTTGAAAGAAACATACCATCACCATTAAATTACTCACTATTTTTTCCGGCAATTAAACAATTTTTGATGTTTACTGTCTCATTTACTTTAATAGTGATTCACTAGGTTTTGATCCCGTTTGAATTTATTCCATACTTAAATATTAATTGACGACTTCTAATCTATTTACTTTTTTAACCTCTTTTATATAAAAGGATTCAAACAATATGTAATAAGGGCGATCATTATGCAGCTATTAACCCTTTGACGTAAATGGGGCAGCTATATATTTTTGTACAACACTCTAATTACAGACAAAAATGTATTATATATTTTGGTATTTTTTAATTATAAAAAACAGCTTATTAGTTACACAAAAAAAATTTTTGACTACCGGAATTACATTTGTACTAAAAAGTAAAATTCAAAAAAATTGTTAGGAAAAATATTTTTATTACTAATCAAAAAGGTATCAATAATTGAATTTGCAAATTAAAGAAATGTCAAAGATGAAAAACTGTTTCTCTTAGATCTATATAACTTCAAATGAGTGCATATTTGAAAAATTATTGTTTGGAAGTGAGTCATGTTTGGAAGATTTTACATTTAACTCACAAAAAGACACCGGTGTTTCGTACTGTATTTCATAAGCATAAATTATTAATATGCTAAATATAATATTTTTTATCTTATTTTAATCTTAACTAATACAAAATATTGAAAAAAGTATGATAAAAAGTTTAATAAAAACTCTGCGTAAAATGGTTAGAGTTTCATAACTAAAAGGCTCACTTATAAAACAACTATTATATGTCTGGACTTCAATAACTTAAAAAGTTTTTTTAAAAAAAATTATCTCGCCAATTTGGCGAGGTTTTTCCATCTAAAGTAAAATCGTTAAAATCAATGAAAAATTTTCATTTATGGTAAATTTTTATGAGCCCAGACAATGCAGCGGTGCTGGCAAAAACCAGAAAAACAGTCCTGCAATCAAATTCACTTCAATTATAAAAACAGCAAATTATACGCTAAAAAAACATTATTTCATGTAATAAAGCCTTCGAAAAACGGAACTGTTATAAAAACAGCATATTAAACGCTTTATTTCATGTGACGACAGAGCCTTCGAAAAACGGAACGAACAATTGCAAAAACAGCATATTATACTCTAAAAAAGAATTATTTCATGTAAAAAAAGAGCCTATGAAAAACGGAACAATTATAAAAACAGCATATTATACGTTAAAAGTATTATTTCATGCGACGACAGAGCCTTCGAAAAACGGAACAATTACAAAAACAGCATATTATACTCTTAAAAAGAATTATTTTATGTAAAAAAAGAGCCTACGAAAAACGGAACAATTATAAAAACAGCATATTATACGCTAGAAAGCATTATTTCAGGTGACGACAGAGCTTTAAAAAAAACTAAGTAAAAAAATCGTTAATTAATACCACAATCAATAAATTGTAGAAATTTGACTAACCACTTGCACCAAGAGAAGCTCTTTGCATTCTTTATCTGCAGCATCTTCCTGCGTCATTAACACGATCAACAAAACAAAAAACGTCCACCGAATTATCATCATAAATTCGAAAACGAAATATATCTCTAGTCTATCTATCCAACAAGACCGCAGATAAAATAATTCCGAAATCACAGAAATGAAGGAACAGCTGACGGATGAAGAAACATTGAGCATGAAATGAATTTAACATTAGTCAGCATTGTGTAGTAATGTTCGTATATTGTTATTAAAGAGGCTGATGTAAAGCTTATTAAATTCGTCGAAGATAAGTTAGATAAAATTGCAGAGATAAAGGTGAATAAGTACAGGTATAACATTACGTTACGCATTTGGAGCCGTATGGGCAAACAATTATTCGATCAAATGCGATGAATTCGGCAAAAATATTATTATAGTATGTTATTAAGCGTAAACCTTTTTCCTTAAAAATAGGCTAATTTTAAACAAACTCGAAGCACCGCAAAATAAAAATGAATAAATAAAAACGCTGATTTTAGGGTAAAGCTAAAGTAATTTTAAATACTTTTTGTGGAAAATAAATTCAAACTTTATAAAAAGGAAGCCGTAGTGGCTAAGAGGATAGAGCTTTCGCCTTCCAATGAGGTGAACCGGGTTTAAATCCCGGCGAAGGCTGGTCGATACGAATTCCGCACCTGGCTCGCACCGACCACACTGCTGACGTAAAATATCCTCAGTGGTAGACGGATCATGGGTTAGATTCCCCTGGCCGTCAGGTTAACCTTGGGAGGTTTTCCTCTCCATGTAAAGCAAATGCGGGTTCGTTCCGTTAAAATGTCCTCCGTGAAGGCAAATTTCCCATAATACTAGATACAGGAGTGCCCTTGTCTTCCGGATTGAGTTCAAAATTGCAAGTCTACGGAGTTGAACATCAGTAATCGTAAACCAAAAATTGGGTCAGCTGTTCAACGACGGTTATGAAATAAAATAAAAACATTTTTTAAAAAATTCTGTTTTTATAATTCCATTTTTTAAAACGATTTCTTAATTTCTAAATTTTGATTTCTATAATCCAAAATGAATAGGTACGTTTTAAATTAATTGTGATAAAAACCGCGCAAGCTGAGAGAGCCAAATCACGGCAGACTGCATCTCCAAGCGCTATTGAAGGTTTGTGAGGATTTCGTTAATTAAAGAATCTGTATTCGTATGAACGAAAAAAGATGCCAGAGCATGAAGGTGGGCTCATGCGATAGGGTTAAAATTAGTTTTGATGCTATTAAAATTAAATTTATGCCCTAAATTCCAACAATGTGTGGCAATAGATAATTTATCGAATTCATGAAGACGGACATATACAATCATGCTCCCTTAATCTACAAATACTATCGTTTATATATATCTAATCAAAGAATGAAACTGATTTACACAGATTCAGAAAAAGACAAAATAAGAAATTAGCATTTAAAATAATAAGTCAAAATGGAAAAGTTCTAAAAGCAGAAAACCAAATTTGTCTTATTTTAATAATTTTGAACCACAAATCAAGCAGAAAACGAAGAATATTTAAAGATATGTATGTTAACAAAACAGCACTTCATCAGGGGACATATTATTAAATATATTTAAGGAACTAAAATATAATTTTATTATTTGTGTTGTTGACAAAACATCTAATAATTTTTGCTTTATTTGCAAAAACTTTTTTAGGCATTTAATGAGTAAAGAATATGAAAACAATAATACTTTTGTCAAAATTAATAATTCTAAAAAAGAAATTTACAATCGAATTTTGTCTTTTTCCAAGAAAATAGGTTTAAAAATCAATAGCTTTAATTATTTCTAACAATTAAGTTCCACCAAAAACCGTTTGAATTTAGATTTGTTACTTGCAGCACTGGATGCTATAATTCTGTTTTTGGAAAAGATTTTTTAATTATTTAAACATTATTTTAAATGATAAGCATTTTATTATAAACAGCAACCAAGACGTTATTAAATATTTAAATTACTATAAAATTAATAATATTTTTACATGTGATTTTAAAAATACCACACAATAATTTAAGGAATATTTGTTTCGAAATTTTTGATAAATATTTGAGTAATGAGGGATTGGAAGATTAGATTATTTTATGTAATGTAAACATTTTTGAAAATTATCTTTTTAATGCTATTTGTTTTTACAGACAAATTCAAGGTACCTCAATGGGAAATTGTTATTCAAGTGCATTTGCTAATATTTTCTTACATTTTTATATATAAAAGCTTTTACAACATAATTTATTAATTGAGTTTAGATTTATTGATGATTTATTTTTTGATAGTAATGATTTTAATTTAATTAAAGATATTTATCCTAAGGAACTTAATTTAATAAAGACTAATTCAGATGAAAATGGCCCCAAATTTTTTAGATCTTGATATTAGACTTCACAACCAAAATTTTTTTATCGGATTATACGATAAAAGAAAAGATTTTAAGTTTAATGTTATTAGTTTAACATATTTTAATTCCAACCTATACGTTAAAATTTGTAAAATTATTTTGATTGGTCAAATTATTAAGTTTAAATTTATTTGCAATAATAAAACATATTTTCTTTCAACTATTAGCAATTTCAAAGTTACATTTAAGAATAATAATTTTCCTTTTAAGTACTGTAATTATAATTTTTTAATTCAAAGTATTTTAAAGACGTTTAAATAATTCGGCCAAAATTGAAGCCCGCATATATAAGTCTATGCGGTGAAATTTAGGATTTTTTTGCCCCTGCTGCATAAAGATGGCAGCACTTTTTTGGCATTTTTACTCATTGAATATTTTTGCTTTATTTTTCAAGCTTATTGAAAGGGGACCGCATTTGATATATTTTTAAAGATTTTCTTAGAGATTTGACAATTTATATTTTATTTTGATTTCTTTATTCCAACTGCAACCTTATCTTTCTTATATGTGGGCGTTTCATTATTAAGTCTTACTCTGTGTACTTTTGAATTGTGTTTGTATGTCATTAATTTTTTCATTGCATTTACATTTCATTCCGTTTTTGGTATTACCACTGAAGGCAGAAAGGCTGATGTGTTGGCAGACAGTGTGTCCCCTGATGAAGTGCTGTTTTGCTAACATACGCATCTTTAAATATTCTTCGTTTTCTGCTTGATTTGCGCTTCGAACTTTCTAAATTATTATCGCTTATATATATTTATATGAAGTCTCTGAATTAGCAGCTTCGAAAATTTTTTTGTGATAGCTGTTGTTGTAGTTAATTTACGTCGCACTAGAGCTGCACAATGGGCTATTGGAAACTGTCTGGGAAACATCCCTGAGGATGATCCGAGGACAAGCCGTCACAATTTTGATACTCTGCAGAGGGGATAGCCCAACGACCTGCACGCGAAGTCGAGCACTTTACAGGTAGAACAATTTAACGAGGACTCATACCGCACACCCTCGGTCCCTACGCAGACTGATCCAAGTGGTCACCCACCCGCACACTGACCGCAGCTAGTGATGCTTGACTTCGGTGATCTGCTGGGAACCGTGTCTTAACGATCAGTCCATTGCGGGACTTCTTGTGATATCAAAATCATCATCAGAACAATCTAAAAACTATTTATCCACTGCCTCAAATGTATTTTATTTCATTTTATAACCGGCTTTGAACAGCCAATAAAATTCTGAGTTTACGATTCTCAATGTTGAACTCCGTAACCAAATAATTTTGAACCCAACCCAGAAGACAAGGAAACTCCTAGATCAAGCATTTAGCCAAAACTAATCTTCATAGAGGACCTTTTGGTGGAATTCATCAGCATTTTCGTTACAAGTAGGAAATCACGAAAACCTCCCACGGTAAGCCCAACCGCAAGGGGATTCTAACCCATGATCCGTCTACCCTGAGGATATTTTATACCAGTACTGTGGTCAGTGAAAACCGATACGGTTCCCAGTAGATCACCGTAGTCAAGCATCACTGACAGCGGATGGGTGACCACTTGGATCAGTCTGCGGTATCGGGTTTCCTTAAATTCGGATAAACCCTGTTTTAAGTTGGATCCAAAATTGAAAAAAATAAGAAGGCGACTAAAATAAATAAAATGGAATACAAAAAAACCATATTACCAAAGAAACCAATAACGGCAATACGTAACAAGCGTATCGTAAGTTACTCCCTACCACGTGGAGAAAGCGAATGTTTAAAATTTATTATCTTTTTCATTCATTTCAAAAGGAAAAAGTACAATGAAGATAAAAGTGGATAATTAATTGTTTTGTACATTTTAAAAGATAAAGAATTAACACGCTGAAAAACACAAATGAGCATGTGCTACAAAACAACATGTGCATTTGATTTCATGACAATGCTTCCATTCATTAACTTTAAAGCAAATTATGTGTCGATTTATAGTTATCAGGGGGTTTTTTTCCATGAAAAAACACGAAAAACCCCACGTGGTCTGGATTATTTTCTTAAAAACCCGAGTATATACGAAATCTACATTTTATTTATGTGAGGGATAAAATTTCTAACAACTTTCCAAGAAATAAACAAGTCTTTTTTCTTCTTTTAATTTAAACAACATTTTACAACATAAATAAAATGACATTTATTTCAATGTATCTACAGTATAATTCTTCAAAATATATCTTTTCTTGAATAAAAATCACACACTAATTTTAAAAAATAAAGACTAGGATGAATAATGATCACATTTTGTAGTAAAGGGAACACTGCAAAGAAAAGGCATAAAAAATGACAAAAATTAAAAGATAACAAAAAATTGCATTTTTCCCAATGCACTCTTTAATTTAATAAAATCAAATTGAAAATTACATAAATCATTTTTTCAAAACATTATAAGAGTCAATTTTCCAACTTTTCATTTTTAACATTTCCTTGCACTGAAAACTGAAAATGTTCCTAAGATCCATTTTGTTAAGATTCTGTTTTGTAACCTCTTAAGATTCATGTGGATCTTAGGAGAATACATGGATCTCTTATAGAGAATGGTCTTCTACCCAGAACACATTAAGTAAGAATTCTATAAGAGTTTTTCGATATATTTTAAACTAATTATTGCAAAGGCCTAAGCCTAAGACCCTATTACGGCATTTTTTAAAAGATTAAGAATTTCTTTTTTAACTATTTTTTTATGTGGAATTTTTTCTTTATAAAAATTTGGATTATTCCCTTAATTTTTAACTTTCTTTCATCTAAGCATTTTTACTTTCGTTTTATAATTGAAAGTAAATTTGTTCTTACTGTAATCAGGAAATAAATCTTATTTACAAATACAGGAAAAGACAAAAAGGTAAATTAACAATTAAAACATTAAATCAAAATGGAAAAGCGCCAACAGAAAATAAAAGATATGTGTGTTGTGGTGCCCCGGGGCCCTATAATGGATAGACAAATAAGAGAAAATCATTTAAGAATTGAAAAGCACAGAAAAATAATGAACCAGCAAACACAACTTCAAAGTACACAACACATAGTAAGACTTAAAAATGATACACCCACTTATAAATAAAAATAGTTACAGTTAGAATAACCAAATCAAAATAAAATATTGCCAAATCAGTAAGAAAATATTATAAATAAATCAAGTGCTGATTTCTATTTGAAAATCTTAAAAAATGAAACAAAAAGAAACTCGGGGCACTGTCAGTTTCGGTTTTTCCACGGACTACAGAAAGGCTCCTGTGTGTTGGCAGGCAGTGTGTCCCCTGATGAAGTGCTGTCTTGCCAACACACATATCTTTTATTTCCCTGTTTTAATTTTTTTTTTTTTTATTCTTACTGTAGTTATTGAAGCTTGGTTTGAAAATAGAGGAGGAAAGGAGCTTCAAACTACCAGTGTTTTTTTGAAAAACAAGAAAGTAGAATATAGGCAACCATTAAAATGAGGATATTAACTTATAACTATATTGCATTTTGTTATGGACTAGATAAAGTTTTCAGAATGACTATTTAAAGTAAGTTAACAATAGTGTGGCTTTGAGGAGAACTCCTCCAGACTGAAAGTCTGCGGCTGTCTGCTGCAATGGTAATAAGGTAGAGCACATTTCTAAGGGGGGTGAAATGGAAGAAGAAGGTGTCGATTGGTTTACTCACGACGACCTATGCTAAGATTTAGACAAAACTATTAACCCCACACCCCTACTCGAAGTGACCTTTCTCGTAACCATAGTATCCGTCACGACGCGAGACGGGTGTCTGGAGGAGTTCTCCTGAAAGCTACACTATACTTCCAGTGCGAATAAACACAATTCTCATTATCACAATATTTCGTCAATCGAAGAACAAGGGAGAATATGCATTAGAAATCATAAAAAAGTGATAAGGGTAGTTATTAAGAATATACAAAAGATAATATAATCTTCTTAACAACTTTTACAATGTATTCATAAGAATAAGAAGACTAATCCATTACAGCAGTCATTCTTTTTTTTTAAAAAAAAATCTTAGCTGCATATTTTACAAAAATATGCTATTTGACGAGAATGGTATAATACTGTGTCAATTTCAATAACATTTCTTTATACAAATATTTAAAGAATTTCAACAAATGTTACAAGTCAAAGTAGTACTAAATTAGACTTAAGCATGTGCTCAATATACTACAAGAGTAAGATTTTTCACAATAAAGAAGGCAATGCTTGATTCTGTAAAGCGTCCTTTTTGCATGCCCCATTGTATATCAAACTATGTCACAAAGGCAAATGGGATACAAAAAATTAACAACAAACTCTGTTTAAAATTTAACTTTGTTTTTCAAGAATATTTTCCGTTTTGTCACACTCATTTTTCCTCCACGTATGAAATCCATAAAAAGCAAAATGGTTCTAGAAGCTCAGATATTAAAATTTATCTATTTTGTGCTACAAGTTAGGAACCAATTTTTAAATGAAATATTTTGATTTCTTTACATTTTTAAGAAATTTTATTTTAACTATTTTTATTGCATTTTTTGGAAAATTTATTTGCTTTGTTTTATTAAATTGACAAAAGTTAGAGTAAATAAAGAAAATGAAAAGTTTTTGTTTAAATACCTTTTGCTTAAATAAATTAGAATGAATTATTTGCAAAATTTGTTAATATGTAAGCTTTAACAAAAACAAAAAAAAAAAATCATACATATTACCAATGTTAAGAAATTGTTGAGTAAAAAAAAAATTAGGGGGAAAATCAATTTTTGTCATTCAAGAAAGACTTCTGATTAGTATGAGGAACATGATGCTTAGTTAGATTTAATTTGTTTGTATTTCAGGCAGGAGTTTTATTAGCATGAGTATGAGTATGCCTCGTTAGGTTAGACCTTTGTGAGAATGCTTTCTTGCATATACTACAAGAATAAGGTTTTATTCCAGTATGAACAACACTGTGTTCAGTCAGATGATATTTTCGAGAAAATCTTTTACTGCATACATTGCATGAATAACTTCTTTCACTCTCGTCAACATGAGAACGACTGTGACTCAATAGATAATGCTTATTCGAAAAATGTTTGTTGCATATACTACAAGAATAAGGCTTTTCACCAGTATGAATAAAACTGTGTTTTGTTAAACTATATCTTTGAGAAAATCTTTGATTGCATATATTGCAAGAGTAAGGCTTTTCACCAGTATGGACAAGACTGTGAATTGTTAGATAACGCTTTTCTGAAAAACTTTTATTGCATACATTGCATAAAAAAGGTTTTTCTCCAGTATGTACAAGACAGTGTCTTGTTAGATAAGCTTTTTGAGAAAATCTTTTATTACACATATTACAAGAATATGGTTTTTCTCCAGTGTGAATAAGATTGTGTGTAATTAAATGGTCCTTTTTTGAAAATCTTTTATTGCATACATTACATAAAAAAGGTTTTTCGCCAGTATGAACAACACTGTGACTAATAAGACAATACTTTCTTGAAAAACTTTTGTTGCATATGCTACAATAAAAAAGTTTGTCTTCAGTATCAGTTATATTATCAACAATATTGTGCTCCATTAAATTACCTTCTCTAGAAATATTTTTATTGGATTCCGCACAGAAATAAGGTTCTTGTTTACAACAATAAGACAATAAAAGTCAAGAACAAACTTCAGGAAAAATGCTTAAGTTAGATTATAAGAATAAGGACTTATAATAGTATGAACAAAAATTTGCACAATTAGATTGAACTTTCTTGAAATACTGTATGGCATTTGTTACAAAAAACGTTTTCAACAGTATGAATTATTTTAAATCTATACAATTTTTATCGAAGTATTATGAAAAGAGTTTTCATTAGCACAATAAAAACTACAAATAGAAAAATAAGGCAACATGATTTCCATTATATTCTTAAGAGGAAGAATTATGTAACAAAAAGAAGGACACACCTGCAAGAAAATAAATGATATCAACATGAATAAGATTTCACCTTAACATAAATAAGATTTTAAAATAACATTAATAAATTTCAACTTAAATAGAATTTTGTTAACTTCTATAGTTTATCTTACTTTTTTTAACAGCATAATTTTTAACAGTATTAATAAAATAAGTACTTGTAAGGAATACAATGTGAAGCTCAATTGTTACGACTTCAGATTTATTGAGATCCTAGGATTATTTACTGAGCAGGTTTAGCAACAAAATTTTTAAAATGGTTTTTCATTGCTAAAAAAACTTTCATAAAACTCTGCTTTAGAGAGCATATATTAAATTTAACAAGCAATTCTTTATTAAACTTCTACTAAAATCAAAAACTGTCATAAACTACCAAATTCTGACAAAAGCCTGGAACAAGTTCTTTTTTTATCATTGAAGACATTTTATTAGATAAATCAGACACAATACTTTCATTATAAATTATATACCATAAAAAAATAATGAACCCAAAATTATTAACATGCTTTTCTAAAAATATGGCACTATTGATACTATAAACTCAAATATTATATGTTGTATTATAACTATTCAGTTTCAATTCATAGTTATTGCAAGAAATAATTATGAGTACTAGTTATCTATTATTATCAGGGTTGGCAAGTTTTTGACACATGACGGTTTTTACCGTAACGTCAAAAAACCCTCTGTCAAAAACCCATGGTTTTGGTAAAACTGTATTTTTATTTGAGTTTAACTACTTATAATTTAAAATTAATTCGTTTTTGGGCAATAAAATTAGAAAAAAATTTGTTAAAAGATATTTAAGAACAGATTCTTACATTTTCCCAACATGATTATATCAAAACATACTATTTGAAGTAAAATATTAACAAAATTTTTAACATTTCCAAGCATCATTTTGTTTGGCATATTACATTACTGAAGAATGTCAAGATTGATTACTGTCACTCATAAAATTTTGCTTTGAGAAACACATAAAAAGAAAGTCTCATAAAATAAACTTTTTTTTACCAATTTTGCTTTCAATATTTTACACAGAAATGAGACATGGCAATAAAAATGCGAATGAGACTGGGCAATGAAAAATGCGCAAAATTAGTCACTTGCTATCGTATGCTTCGGCACAGTGACCCCGACTACTGAACATGCAATTTTGTTTGTAATTAAGTTTTGTCTAATGTGCTTTTTCAATTGAATAAAAATTTTTAACTTGACAAAATAACAGTAATTCTTGACTTAGAGTTTGCTAGCAGTTACAAGTTTTGAAAGTTTTGTTTAGCTCATTTCTAATATTTAAGAAATGCCAAATTTTAAATTCTTCTTTTTAGTTCTTGAATTTATTAATAGTTCCAAGCNTGAAATCATTTTCTGAAGGTAGAGAATATTTAAATAGAAAAAAATGTATGATTCGCAATGCACATTTTTTTAAAGAAATAATTTCTCTCAGTACCCTTTCTATTAGTTTAATCAAGGCATTTCTCTCAAATTCAATATTACTTCAAAATACGTTCTAGAGAAAATATAGTGACTCTAGTGCAGGGATGGCGAACCAGTGGCACGCGTGCCATCAATGGCACGCGTCACAATATTTTGGGCTCTCTACCAATCACAAAGTTCACTATGAAGCATATTAACAACTGAATTATAATTCACAAGAAACCAAAAAAAATTAACAATTATTTATAAAAAATTAACAGTTAATGCAACAAAAAAAAAATCAATTAATAACCACAAAAAGCAAGCTAACAATAAATAACTAGCAAAAAAATTAGCATATAATAACTAATAGAAAACAAAACAAAAGAACAATTAAGCAATGCGAGTGAAAGCGAAACAAAAACTGCACAGGAGATAATACGACGCCTAAGCGAAGGCAATAAGGAGACTCGAAACAGTTGGTCTCGCCAGAGTAAATGCATAGCCAACGCGCAAATTTTTCATCCTTTCGTCTCTTGGTCACCAAACTAAAACATTTTCTTTATACATTCGCTTTCCCGAGAAGGTACTTGTATTTATAAATTAAGTACATTTAAACATGATAAAACTTGTAATACATGTTCAAAGATTAACTTTTCTTATTATGCAACACTTATTTGTATTTATAGGCACTTTCAAATTGTAATTAATTCCAAAATAGCAAAGAACTACTTTTCAAAAGCGTAGTAATATATTTCCTACCTTTCCCTGTAGTGAAAGCTTGAGGTGAAACGAAGTATAGTGACGCATTATTTGTTTACGCAAAGCATAATAGTCCAATTTCGTTGACACAACTTTTTTTTTGTATTTTAAAGTTTATTTGTGTTATATTTGCGATTTTAAACTGTTATTTAACATGGCTAGTTCAGCAAGGAAAACAAAAGAGCAAAATAGTAAGCATATCAGAGAATTTTAAACTCGATGGACAGAGAAATATGACATGATTAGTAAAGGCGACAAAGCAGTGTGTTTTTTATTGTCTGGAACAGTGGTATGTAGAACATCGTCTGTTAAACGGCATTTTGAAACAAATCACAAATTCGTTAGTCAAAAGAGCGAACCAGAGCAAAAGGAATTAATTGCAAGTGCAATGAAAGACAGAAATAAACAGTCCACTTCTATGATTAAATATGTTGGCAAAAATTGTCATACGAGTGTGGCAAGTTACTCGGCTGCAAATATCATTGCTCGGTATAGTAAATCTTTTCAAGAGGCAGAGTTTTTGAAGGAAGCCTGGTTAGCATGCGTGCCCTCACTTTTTGATGATTTCGATAACAAAGATAAGATAATTCAGCGCATCTAGAAATATAATAAAAAAAAAGAATATTAAAATTGGCCGGAAATGTAACAGATCAACAAAAAATTGACATTAACTCCGCTCTTTTTATATCGCTATGTCTTGACGAAAGCACTGGCATCACTAAATCTGCACACTTAGCTGTTTTTGCTCGATATTGTGTAGGAAACGTCATTAAGGAAGAATTGATTGCATCAACATCGTTGCTAACAACTACAAAGGGCACAGATATTTGTACGGCTGTTAAAAATTCGCTCATTGAGAAAGAGATTGACTTGAAAAAAATTGTTTCGGTAACAACTGATGGTGCTCCAAGTATGGTGGGCAAAAAAATTGGTTTCATAAGTTTATTTCAAACATACGTAGGGCACTCGATTCTTGAATTCCTCTGCCTCATTCACCAACAAGCCTTGTGTGCTAAGAGTGGTTTAACATTTCTTGATGATGAAATGGCGGTAGTCACAAAAATAGTAAATCTCATTTCCTTGCAAGCCTTAAATAAGCGAAAGTTTGATGCTCTGTTGGATGAAGTCAACTCGGTGTATAATGGCTTACTGATGTATAATAATGTTCGCTGGTTGAGCCGCGGGAACGTACTTCAAAGTTTTGTTGATTGCTAGGAAGAAATCAGACTGTTTCTGCAAAATGAGGGGAAAATTGAGCAATGCCCACAGTTGTTGGATGTTATGTGGCTTTCAAAATTGATGTTCTTTACAGACATATGCAAGCGTTTCAATGAATTGAATGTGAAGCTTCAAGGCACAAATAAAACGATTATCGTCTTGATAGATCTCATTCGAGCTTTTGATGCTAAACTGCATGTTTTCAGGAACGATATTATTACAAGAAACTACAAGTATTTTCCAAACTTGAAAAAAAGTATCAACGATTTAGATATACATGAGAAACCTGGCGAAGAAAAAGTCACTGAAGGATTTATTTCTGTTATTGATTCTTCAATCAAGAAATTTTCAGCAAGATTTTCCCAGTTCAGAGAATTATCAGAAACACTCAAGTTTATTATGTACCCTGATGAGACTTCATTTGATAAATTGAACTTGCCCCAATTCGATTGGTTGGAATTGAAGAATTTGAAATGCAGCTGATTGATTTCCAGTCTAGTTCAATATGGATTCAAAAATTTATTGAAACAAGAAAAGAGTTGGAATNGCAGAGATTCTCTAAAAATTTTTTAAATAACTGGAAGAGAAAAGATCTGAGTTCTCGAATGTTCTTTTAAAAATGTTTTTACCAGTTTTTAGTTTTCTGAAGACCTTGGTCACCTTACGCAATGCGGCAGTACAGTGGTTCACATATCTCTGCAAAAAATGTGGTTTATATAGATACTAATAGAATAATTTCTTTTCTAAGATATAATTTATGTTTTACCACAAGCTTGAATTACTCTTGAATTTTATAGAAAGAGGGAAAAAATATTATTATTTCACAGATGATAAGGCTTTGCTTCTCCTTCACGAAATATATTTGTACTATTATACTACAAGTAACAAAATATAAAATTACAAAGGACAGGAGAAAAATTTTTTCAGTCTTCATGTTCGATTATACTTTCATAATTTAACATTAACCAAGAATAACTTTGCAGTGTAAGACAATTGAAATCAGTGATGGTCACCGTATAATAGAAATGATCTCCCTTTTTTATCAGAAATTTTCCATCTCGAATTTATGAACATAAAATAATTTAATTCAAATTCTATAATTCCAATTTTATGATTCCATAATTACTGAGTGATCTTTTATATCCCTGAATGACCTATTGAACATTTAGTTTTATCTAATACATAATAAGCATGAAACCAAAATATTTTAGTTGTAGATATGTTACGTTTCAAAAAAATATTGCTTTTAAACAAAAAAATTACTACACATGAAATTTTCTACCTGCGCATGATATATTCATCTTTTTTCTTTTAATTTTATCGATCGTTTTAAGATTTTTGGTTGATGAGTTAATCTCTTCGTCAAAAACTATCAATTTGATAAAAGAATATTCTTATGCTAGATATCAAACGCGTTTTTCTAAGAACTACCTTTTTAAAGTTTTCAAGAATGCTTTATTCTTTTGGATTATTTTGCTGTTTATTTACATTGTTGACATTATTAAAAATCGTGGGTTTTCAGCACAGCATCGTGAAGCATATGCGCAACATCAGGGACCCCAGGAGGGGCCAGCAACAGGCGATGGCGGGGTGGTGTGGTTGGTGCCGGGGAACTCAGCTTCCTCGCACGGGTTAATGTTGGGCGAGGAGCCGGCAGCCTCCTCCTCCCGTTTCTGGAGGATTCGGGCTATCTTGAAAGCCTTTTCCATCAGGTCGTCTGAGAGCCCGTGGAAGTTTGGCCTTCTTGTAAGTTCTGAAGTGCTCTGATCTGCTGCAAAATTGGTGGTGTCGTGAGTTTTGCAATACTCGCAGTTAGCACCGTGGTCGGCAATGAATCTTTTCTTCAATCGTTGAATTGATTTTTGGAGCCGATGAATCTCAATGCCCTCCAGATTTAGGCCCCCAACGAGATAAAACACTGCGAAAAATGAAATTAATTATCTATGTTTTTATGAATAGATTTGTTAGCTACGTGTTATAAAAGATATAAAGTGTAACTTACAGACTACGATGCCCATTTTGTCAAATTTTACATCATACGATGTGTCCTCTTAAGTGCGCTCGATGGAATTCCGGCTGTGAAAACACTTAATTATATGATTTCTATATAAAAGCAGGGAAATAAGAATCAAAATAATTAAACCAGATTGGATTATTTATAAAGAACTTGATCGAAACTAGGTGAATTATAAATTATTTGTTAGTGTCAAAATGATCTTTAGAATAAGATAACCTAAATAGTTCTAGTTGCTTACCATAAACCTTCATTAAAAATTTCCCATACGTCTCCTGGCGCTTAAGTCGTCTTGATGTATAAGTCATTTTTTTGCCTTTAATTGAAAAGAAGCATAATTTACAGTTATTTTTAATTTTCAGTTTTTAATGAACCCAAGAAAAATGAATAGTTCCGTAATAAGAAAATTTTTTTAATGCCAAGGGACCATCTTTAATTTGAGACGATTTTAGCAGGAAAATTTTTTCTAGGCATCTTTCCTTCACTTTAAGGGTAGGTATTTCTCGTTAGCATTACAAATTTTTAAAAAAAATCAGAAATATAAGGATAAGATTGTTATTAGTCTGTGAATTAAAAAATGAGTAACATGAGTAGGATTTAATGACCATAAAATAAAAAATGTTTATTCCCTGTGCACTCTTATATGAGACTCGAAAGCAAAAAGCATAATGATTTCATTTGCTTGAATTGCTTGGAATTATTTACTTATCCACCCAACTTTTTTTATGATTCATAATTGAATTCCAGTTCATTAGTTTTCTAAAACCCTTTAAATTCTACTTCATTTTCTAGAAGTGAAGTTATAATTGTTTTTTCTTATGCTGACAGATTAAACTGAAACAGGAAGTAAACTCCAGAAAACAAAACTATAATGTAATCGGTTTAGAATAGAAGTAGATTCAACATGACATGCAATAAGCTCAATTTATAATTTATTAAATTTAATGAGGGGTGCTCGAAAGAGTCTTCGTGACCTCTTTTGCAGGCATCTACAGGTTTATTTACAATAACAAGGTAACACCAAAATTACTGAGGATAGTGAGACTGTCAATAAATTGCATGCAAAGGAAAGGTTCAATTTTATAAAGGCTGAACACTAAAAAGCAATTTTGTTTTTTTCATTTCATACTATTACATACATTATATTTGTTTTTAAAAATTTTATACATTTCAGAGTGAGAAATTCCACACTTTCACTTTCCACATACCACTCACAACCTCAGAATAATCCTCGAACAAGAAAATTTCATATAAAAATAATCATTGAAATAAAAGTATAAAAAAGATAGAAACATAAATTAGATTATAAGAGTTATTGCAATATTTTGTTTTTATACTCACGGAAAATGCAACTTTCCAAAAAACTTGACAACTGTGCTAAAATCCTAATCTATATGTTTTTCTCGACAAATACACCCTTAATATATAGGTTTCTTAAAAGCATTTGTCTATTTTGACCGGGTTTTTAATTTTTGTTAGTCTTGACGACTTTATATTCTAATAATTACAATAAAGCTCACTTCAAATACTTAATCAGTTCCCATAACAACAAAACAAAAGTTGTTGTGTGGTCATGATAGACAGCATGAAGTAGTAAGTTTAGAAAAAGTCTATCTTATAGCTTACATGTAAAAATATTTTTATTAATGGGCGAACAGACGACACAACTGAGCGAAAGGCGAATCTCTGAGCACCATCGATAAAATATGCGAATCTGATTGGCATAGATATTAAAGTTCCTGCTGATTGGTGAAATACGTAAATCAGTTTTCCTTACTCGTTCAATGTTAATTAGAGGTGCGGCAACCGCATTTGGTAAAAATGCTCCCTTGCGATAGTATTTCCCACAATGTGAAAGAGAAAAAGCGATGAACATTAAGAAAATAGCACATATTTATTCAATAGAGCATTATTCATTTTTTGTACTTGCCCCTTGAACTCCAAACTCCCTTCTTATAAAGGTGGAATGGTTCTATGGTTCATTTTTTTCTTAGCGAGCAGGAATTTTCTGAGTTGGTCTCAACAGACAGAATGAATTTTTGATTTCAGAATTAATTAGTAATAGGGTTGCTTATTTACGCCGTAATAGAGCTGCATAATGGGATGTTGGTCACGGTTTGATCAGTGCCATAACTTTGAACCTCGGGGCCCTGAGGCACAAATTTTTGGCCTGGGTCCTTTCTAAAAGTTTCTGTACTCCATCTCTAATCGCAATTTTAACTATTTATGTATCATATTATCGAATATATTTATAAAAAATAAGTTACTTGCTCACATATAAACAGTATTACAGAATATTGAAAGCCTTAAATTTAGCACTAGAATATAAAATGTTATCATATTTAAAAATTCCTTCTTGATTACAAAACACATCTAAGTGTATGACTCCAGGACACCTAAAAATAATTACAAAACACATATTTAAAATACAGATTTTTAAACGTACTTAATGGTTCTAGTTGTAAACTTAAGTATAGATTTGTAAACTTAAGTTTGTTGAGAAAAAAGCTGTAAGAAAGATTTCACTGGAATAAAACTTTAAAAAAAGGTAAATAGAAAAAATTGATATAAAATGAAAAAAAAATATATACAATTAATGCAAAATGTAAATGCATCAATAATTTGAAATACAGTCCACTAAAAATTGCTAATCTGTTGTTAATTAATATAAACTAAAAAACTAATAACAAAATCACAGCAATTTTTAAATTGCCCAGCATAAATTTTTATAAAGAATTTTTTTATTAATCTGAAACTAAAATTTATTTCTCTTGCCTTCATTTTCAATAAACAATAAAGCAAGTTCATCAAATTGATCCTGCTCCATCAAACTCCTGAAATAATTATATGTATAAATAAAGGATAAACGAATTTTATAATTGCGTGCAAAAAATCTTCAATTTACTTAGAAAGTTCTCGAGATATGGCAAAATATGTAATAAATAAAATTAACATTAAAGGGTTCAACCTTTGAATCGCTCTCCTAACCAAATAATTTGGGACAACATTTCCCAGATAGCGGCTACCCCCTATATTTTGGGGGTTAGAAAATTGAATCCGTTGAAAAAAAGTTATGTTTATTCAGAGAAAGTATTTTTTTGTGTCTTTCATAACTTATAATACCGTCTGCACCAATTAATTAGCTTGTTTGAGGGCACCACCTATTAAGATGGAGTCCTGAGAGCACCACCTATTAAGATGGAGTCCTAGAACGTGAATATCCGATGATTAGATCAAAGGACATTCAGGGTGTTCTGTTATTTTTTTTCTGTCTCACTGCACAGTGTGCAAAAAAAAAAGGACCACTCTGAATAATTTTTGATCTAATGATCGGATCTTTCGGTTCTAGGATTCCACCTTAATGATTCGAGAGGCTATTATGCTAACTAATTAGTTCAGACGATATTTTAAGTTCTGGAAAATATGTTCCTCATAGTTTAGTCAGGAAAGCGATCCAAAGTTTGGACCTGAGAAATCGAATTTTGAAAGTACGACTTTTTCAAAACTTGATTTCTCAGGAACTATTAAATTGATTTTGCCCAAACTTTGTATTTCGCCATGTAAAATTACTAACTTTAAAATTATGTAAGAAATAGTATACCTAATAATTCAAAATTTTTTCGTCTATTATTAAATAAAATAATGAAAAATAATAAATACTAACTAAAATTTATTTTATGCATGGAATTATCTTTGCATAAGCAAATTTCATAAATGCGTGAAAAATTTCTCGAGCATTAACATTATGAGGTCCAAACTTTGGATCGCACTCCTGACCAAACTATGGGGATTGTTTATTCCTTTGAGAGAGGGAAATAGTCTTTTCACCGAGGGAAATAGTTTTTTTTCACCCTTCCCTTTATGTTAAAGTAGACAAGCCATTACAAAAAAAAAATTCTGCAATTCTATCTTCGCAAAATTTCTTTCCTACTTAAAAAAAAAAGAGAGAAACTTAATTTTGAAAAAAAATTAGATGGGGGGGGGGCTTTGACCGTCGGTGCTGTTAATGCCCTGGGTTTGAGAAACATTCCTGAGGTTGATACGAAGATTTGCTAACACGATTTTGATCCTCTACAAAGGGGATGGCTTCCCTGCCTTAATGCAACAGAGACTTGCGTGTGTAAAGTCGAGCTCTTTATGAACGGTTTAACAAGAACCGGTCACTTCGGTGTTCTACTGTGAACCGTGTTTTTACGAGTTTTTTCTTTTTAATAAGAAAAATGCATTGAAAAGCATCCAGACACTATGACTTCGTAACATTCAGCAATGCTTTATATGTTCATTCATTTCAGTAGTTAAAATTACTTATTTTTTGACCAGAGGTAAAAACGTAGAGATTAGGAAAATATCAGTGTCATATAACTCAACTTACTAACTCAATGTATGGTCAGTGTAGAGATTTCGCGATAACATTGCTCAAATACGTCGTCTTGGGAGAAGACCCTCCCCTCTCCCCAGTTGTATAAGTTGTTGTTGTTAATTTACGTCGCACTGGAGCTGCACAATGGGTTATTGGCGACGGTCTGAGAAACATCCCGGAGGATGATCCGAAGACATGCCATCATAATTTTGATCCTCTGCGGAGGGGATGGCACCCCCGCTTCGGTAGCCCGAAGACTTGCGCGCGAAGTCGAGCACTTTACGACAGCACAGTTTAACGAGGNACGATTTTGATCCTCTACAAAGGTGATGGCACCCCCGCTTCGGTAACCCGAAGACTTGCGCGCGAAGTCGAGCACTTTACGATAGCACAGTTTAACGAGGATCAATACCGCACACCCTCGGTCCCTACGCAGACTGATCCAAGTGGTCACCCACCCGCACACTGACCGTAGCCAGTGATGCTTGACTTCGGTGTAACAGTTGTATAAGAATTTATTCCTTAATATTTTTCATATTTACTTGCCAAAAATATTTTTTAAAATTTCCACGACCTTTTCTCTTAGATAGCACAGAATTAGGTTTTTTTTCTTCTTGATTTCATTATGTGGACAACTTCTGAAAGAATTTTACTAACATTCAAAAATCCAAATTTGATTTATCTCAATCTTCAACATTCAAAATAGAAATTACCTTTTAACTTTTTTTTTTCATGGGATAAATTTGATTTCGGATGGGGGGGCGGGAGTTAACTTACACACAAGGTCAACTTGACTGGTTTCACCCTTATGACAATTTCAAGAAAATATATGACATTTTAAGTCAATATATGACATTTTAAGAAAATATATGAATTAAAACCAGCCAAATCCATAAATTCATAGAAAGAAAACCCATGAAGTCTACGATATACGTGCATAGGAGGGTAATCTATTTGTAATGCTCTTAAGCAGAGGTAGAATTAAACATTTAAAATTACCATGCACACAAAAAAACCGTGCAGAAACTTTAATTGTTTAACTCTAGTTTAGAGAACTACAAATAGATTTCTAGTTAGCGAGTAATAATTAATCAAATCAATGATACACAATGAAGCGGAAAAAAAATTAAACGAAAAGATAAACTGAAAATAAAGAAAAACTTACAAGATAAATATAGTCTTTATTCGACACTTTACAATTATAACTAAACATGGAATGATTAAAACAAATTTTCAGACAAATAATAACAATGCCTTTGATACTTCAGATCATATTAGATATAAAAATTCAGAACATATTTAAAAATTCAAAATGGTCTATAATTAGGTATATTTTTATATAATGTATTCGTATTCACCAGCCATTGATGGGATTTGAACCCGGTGCACCTTATTGGAAGGCGAATGCTCTATCCCCTGAGCCACCACGGCTCATGCCAATGATAAAATCGCAATTCGGTATGCAGATATACACATAACTTACTTATTTTATTATATGCATTGATTTAGATGTACGAGCCTGGGCCGGGATAGCCTGGTTGGTGAAGCGTTCGGCCCATGTCAAAGAGATTGTGAGAACTCTACGTGTAGTAAGTGGTGACTGGTGCACGCTAAATCTGTCGGATCACAAAGTCCTCCAGGTTCCTATTACAAATCATAACCTCTGGGGGTACTGACTGGCAGATCGTTCCTTCTCTGGTTTAGGTCAAAATTACGATCTGTGGATGATGAATGAGTCGGCCCTATAAACGGGCTGAGAGCAGTGTGTGTGGCTGAAGTCGTATTCTTGGCCATACCATTGAAAAACAAGAAACGCACCCTCTGTCTTAAAATGCGCTTTCTCCACGCAAGCTTGCTGGTATTAGCAAATAACATTAGAAACAACAACAGATTTAGATGTTTAAAAAAAAAAAACTCCCCAGAATGAGATCTCTTTCCCATTGATTGTGACATAGTTTGAATGCGTTAAAAAAAATTTTTTTCCCTTCAGATTCTTATCACCTTTTTTATATTAAAATCATTAATTCTTCATCAAGACATCTATAATACAAATTAAAATAATTTATGTAGTATTAAGTACACATAGTTTACGTCACAGTCTTATGAATCTATTTCTCAGATTCCAAATTATTAGGACATCATCGATGAAAGTGCACCCCGATCGTGCCTAAGTGAAGCATAGATAATCAAAGACCTGCCAAAGCCGTGATATGTCAAGACTCACCCTAACACATTGCATAAGTAGTTTTTTTTTTCTGAACCTTAAACATTGCATAATGCAAAAACTGAAACATTTTTTGACCTCTTAGTGTGCCTTTAGTAAAATTTTATTATTATCAATGCTAATTATGGAAAAATGACATAATTTCCAACATAGGAGAATCAAAAATTGAAAGATTTTCTGTATGGCACGATTTATGGCATAAAAGGGTAATTTTGCAATTTCCTTTTAACTGTTATTGCAACTTAAACCAGAAAAATAGAAAATTACAGGTATGTCAATTTAAGAAGTTTAGTAATATGATTAAATATTAACTGTATTAAAATTTTATGATATGCATTTTTTTTTTTTTAAATGAATCATTTTAAATCTGTTTCTTCAAAAAAATATATCCATAAGACAAGGATTTGATTCAATAAAAATTAAAGTGCACCAGGTGAAAATTTTACAAAAATTTGAATGAATTAAAATGCATTTACAATTAAAGCTTAAGCAATGAAAATATTTACAAAATTTCAACAGAATGAAAATGTAATGTAGTATTTACAGTTGAAATTCAGAGATAAAATATTTACAAAGCTTGTTTTATATAAATTTCAGTCATCCTGAAATTACGTAATTTTACATATGTGTCGAATTCTTTTACCTTTTTCAGAAATGTTTCATCAGGCTCTACTTCAAAACACTCAGTATTTTTTAAATTTTTATTTTATTTTTTATTAATAATAAATTTTTATTAGACATAGATGATTTAAAGATGAGTTTATTTTGCTGAATATCCATTTGGATTTAGCATTCGAGTTAGGAATGACAAGCTGAGTCAGCATTATCTTAACAATTTTGCAATTTTTTTAACACCAAAAGCATTTTCTTGATTTTATTTATGTATCCAAGTATTTCAATTGCAGATTGACTGATACAAAGTTTTTTTGCTTTTTCTCCTTCAAATAAGAACAAAGATTATGTGAATGTTCAAAATAAAAAAAGAAGAAAAAAAAATTTAAAACATATTGAATATTTTTCTGATCACCTCAAAATTTGGGGTAGTCAGATTTTTTTTTTTCTTTCAGGAGAGCTGGCAGCTTTGAATGATATGTCATCATAAACTATTCATATTTCAAAAGAATCACTTGCATCTGAAAATATTTTTTTAAGTTATTTTATTTAAAATTTAGACTTTATTAACACTTTCATGTCCGGTGACACCAACGTGTTGTCACGTGAAAATCAAACGTTAGCTGCCGGTGACAACACTTTGGTGCCATGTCCAAGCCAAACGTTAGTGGCCGGTGACAACACATAGATGTCGCGTGTTGCAACCTGATATTCACTTTGTCAAGGGACAATAGAGTACCGGGAGGCCAACTGCTCCGCTTTCTGGAATAATTTTAATAAAGTGGTAGCAAATTATATAGTAAAATTCCTTAAAGAAAGATAGTTACGCATACTTTTTAATATAGTAACCAGCAGTTAGATGCTTTAACGTTGCATTTGATATCATACTTATAATTTTTGATATTTAGTGGTGAAAAAATGACTTATAATGAAAAATACTAAGCTAAAAGTAACTTAAATTTCGCTACCACTAGAAAATACTATTTTACAAAGCGGAGCAAGTTACATAGAACCGGTTACATGGCAAACTTATCATTAAATATATGCGGACCGCATAGTGTTAATGAATGAGCAAAGGGTATTTATTGCAGCATTAAAAAAAATACAGTGAAAGTCCAGTAGGAGACCTGTATAGTGAGCTTGATTTAATTCTAGAACAGCAGTAATAATTAAAAAAAAAAAACTAAAATAGATACATTCATTTTTTTTCCTGTTTGCTTTGAACAACTATTTAGATTTAAAATGCATTCATCGACTGCTTTAGCCTACCAAGTATAGACAGAACTGGGAGCTTTTGCTAACTAAACGATAAAAAATGAGCATAACTTTTGATCATTGATAAGATAAAATGATTTCAATACTAAACCATCGAGGCATGGTTGATACTTGGTCATCAAAACTCTCATTCTTTTGAAATGTGTGACAGGATCTTTAAAAAATAGAGAGATATAACTTGACCAGTGGTAATCCACACAACTAAATAAGTAGCAAGGACTAAATATAAAAGGGAAATATGTTTGTTTTTCTCTATTCTGTATTTAAACCAGAAAAAAAAAATTCCATTTTTTTGTATAATATTCCTATTTTAAGGTGTAAAAAAAATTAAAAAAAACTTTCCCAATAGCAGAAAGATAGTAAGTTAGAGCTCCTTATAAATACAAATTTTTGTGCCTTTAATACTAGCATTTTGACAGTGACTTAAATACTTGTGCTAACAGTGGATTTATGTAATATTACATGGTTGTTACATCTAGCTTTTACTGTATTTTTTTTACATATATATATTGGAAAGAATAAGGATAATCGTTTTGGTTACGGAGTCAAGGCTTTCATAGAAAGTCCATTAAGCTGCAGCTAATGATACTCTTAATTATAGTAGTATACTTTAAATTATTTCATAATGATCTTGTATCGGGTTTAATGTTTATAACTTTATGTCCATAGATATTCTTTTATTAATAGCAAAAAAGTTTATTTTCATCATAGCAATTTCTCACGACAACATCATTTATGAGAAATAGCTAAATGTAATCAATATTGCATCATTTCCGTCTATTGAGATTTGAGGACCCTTCCAGACATTTCTGGCTACGCAACTGATGCTTGGTTAAGTAAGCTTTTCTTTTGAAACTTTTGCCACATATACTACAAGTGAAATTTTTTTCATTGACATGAACAAGACTGTGCTTAGTCAAATTACCCTTTTCTGAAAAATCTTTAAAGCATATATTACAGGTATAAGGTTTTTCAGTAGTATGAAGAAGGAGATGTTGAGTTAGATTACTTTTAAGTGAAAATGATTTATTGCATATACTACAAGAATAACGTCTCTCTCCTGTATGAAGACGAGAGTGTTGAGTTAGATTGCTTTTTTGGGAAAATCCTTTATTGCATACGCTACAAGAAAAAGGTTTCTCACCAGTATGAAGAAGTAAGTGATACGTAAGATTACTTTTTTGTGTAAATTTTTTGTTACACACGATGCATGAAAAAGGTTTTTCATCAGAATGAACAGCACTATGAATTTTTAAATGAATCTTTTGCGAAAATCTTTTACGGCATACATTACAAGAAAAAGCTTTTTCTTGGGTATGAACGAGATTGTGATTAGTTAATTGATGCTTGAATGAAAAACCTTTATTGCATGTGGTACAATAATGGAGCTTTTCCCTAGTATGAACAAAATTATGATTTGCTAGTTGATTCCTTTTTGCAAATCCTTTATTGCATATGACGCAAGAATAGGGTTTTTCACCATTAACAATATGGTCTTTAAACCGTATTTTTTTACACTTCATAGGTTCATTCATTTTGGAAAACCGATATTGCACCTGCTACAGTAAGAAGACTAGATCGGTATTTACAGATTGTATACACAAGCTATAAGCATATAATTTTGCAAACGTAAGCTAATGCATTATTAAAAAGTTTTTTTTTATCATATCACATAGAAATCATATTAATTTTAAATAAGAATAAAATTGTTTAATCTGCAAATAAATGTGAAATATCACACCTTGAAGGATTAAATATGCTTGAGCAATAGAAACTTTAAATACCTTGTGTTACAGGAACAATATCACCGCTTGTATAAAAGTAAGAACTACTATAAATCACAAACTAAGTTCACAAAGTTCAAAAATGTTTCATACGGATGTTTAAAAATAACTCCATATAAAAAGGTATGGTTGTTTGAATTAAGAGCTAATTTTCTAATAAGAATCATTAGAAATGAATTCAAAAATAACAAAATAATTTTAATACTACAGATTAACAGTTGTAACTTGAGGTTCAAAAGACTTGATTATTCTCATTCCATTTTCATTACGATACAATTCTTGATCAGTAACTAAAAGAGAAACAAAAAAGATGTGACAAACATATCAAAACAACACTGTTATTAAGAATTATATATTTTACTAATTTAGTTTACTAGTAATTTAACATTAGATGAAGGAGATTTTGACACCTCTTCTGAAAATTATTATAATTGGCTCTTAAATTAGAAATCATAGGGAACTGGCAAAGTCTTAGAATTATTCAAAATGTAAATTTTTAAAATAAATTTTTTTTAATGTATGTTCTGAAAGGTTTTAGATAATATTTCTACTGTATGTTTCATCAAAAATTACAGTATGGGTTTAAAAAAAACTTTTTTTTTATGACAATTAAATTTAGAGTTGTCAATGAGTATTAGAGAACTCTAATGGCTTGATATATATATATATATGTAGGACTTTGTGGAGCATAAGAGGAAATAATGACAATAATTTAATAATCCATCTTAACATTTAATAGAAAAAAGGAAATAAGTTTAACAGTGATATCATGACCGGGGAGAGCTGCCTACTCGCAGGGTCGCCAAATCGAATATCATGGGTCTGTCTAGATTTTTCTGAGAGATATCGATTTTGTGAAAATTTAGACATAATTTGCGAAAATTAAAAATAATATTAAAAAATCAACACAAAAATATGGATTTATCGTTTCTTGTGGGATACAAAAATAAAATTTTAAGAAAAAGTATTTTGTGAAACTACCGTTTTCCCTAAAGTTGAATTTGTGAAGGTACCGCTAAACGGTAGTAAATTTGGCCTGGACAGACCCCTGAATATGAAATTAGATTGTTCTATGGAAAAGAGCCGGTGGATACAGGGGGTTTCCTTTGTCGTCTGGCTGGCGTTGCTCGATGAGGAAGTAGACGATTAAATTCTCCGAAGTATTACATAATGACGGATGATGCAATTTGCAGAAATATTACACTTTGAACTTACTGTAACTACATATATANTTACTTAAAATATATTTAAAATTTTACACATACCTATGATGACCTGGAGAAGTAATTGAAATTTACAAATATGTCTTTCTCTCTTGAGTTTATGATTATAATAACTATTTACTGATAAAAAATGAATATTAATCATGAATATAAGATTATAAAGTATCTCTTTGGCTCTCCCTTACAAATAAATAAAATAAACTGTGCTCTTAAGTTTCACCTTTGAAAATTTGATTTCCGAAAACTTTTGTGATCAATGATTTTTTGAAACATCTGAACCTTTGATCTCTGGAAACTTCCGGATCACGGTGAGTGGAAAAACCGGATTTTTTCCGGAGCACAATCAGCCGTACATTAGGATTGATATCTAATCTCGTATTATCTAAAAGGATTAACAGCGATTCCAAAGATCTGTAGTAAAAATTCTAGGTGCCCCATTCCTTTCCTTACTGTCCCTTGCTAACAAACTTGAAGCATTGAATCAGTAATTCATTGTGATCACTGAGTGCAACCCTAGAGATAGAAAAAAAGATAGCATTTTACTGGAACTACATTCAGATGGGTCAACAAAAGTGCACTTGCAACGAATAGTGACACTTGAGAGAAACTGGAGCTTAAATTAAGCATTTTGTTTTTAAAGAACTAAAACCGAACAACTAAACTTATTTTTATTTAACTTTTGATGCATTCTATATACATTAGCTTAGGATTTCCAGTTTGCCTGGAAAAAAATATTATTTTATCCATAAGTATAGCTTAAACATAAACAAATTAAATTCAATATAGTTCCAGAAAGTTAAAAGAAACTACATTTTAAAATTTATAAATCACATTACTTGAATTTAATATTCATGCTTAACAGAGTTTGATTAAAAAAATTAGTATGCTATTTGTAATGAAGAATTCAATATGACACTTGTAGCAGTGTATATGTTTAGCATCTGATTTGTTAATTTAGTAGTATCATCAAAAATTGATTATGATATTTTAAAAGTTTATTATTATGAAATAAGGTTTTACTATAGTTTATTTGTGTAAAATATAACAAAGACCTCAGTTGCTTTTATTTATTTTTTTTCGAAAAGGGAAAAAAAATTAATTCAACTTATCTATTTTTTTCAACTACGTACTACCTTTTAGTTCTCACATGTTTAAAAGAGGTACATATTTATTATCGAAATTAATTCTATTATTTAAACTACAATGAAATTATAAACTGTGTAAAATATTCATATTAGAAAGAGTTTCCTCCATTTCTTTCACTTGTGTTGGAAGAGACCTACAACTTTAAAGGTGATTTTTCCCATAGTATTTTCCACTGTGGACTAGCTCTGCATTGGATCAACATAGATTAAATATGAAGCAAGTATAACTTTTATATTTCTTTAAACCGTGTTCATAACATGTTTTGATACACCAGAGAGGGTTAATGTGGAATAGTTCTACAATTAGTAATTTTTTCAATAAAAAGTATGCAAATATTGTTTTTGAAACAAGAATATTCTTAAATAAATGTATTGTGATTATATTTAAACATACAGATGCTCCAACTACTTTTTTCCCCATATTATTACATTAAAGAATTCATGATTATGACTTTGAAATTTAGTTTCAATTAGGATGATATATATTTTTGCTAACTTTACACAATTTCATCAAAAATAGCAAGGAAAATGTAGTAAATTTTTTTTTTTTTTAACATTTTAAATATAATATATTGTAACAGTGTAAAATAAAATATCTATACAGTATTAAAATTTAATATCTATACAGTATACAGTGTAAAATTTAATATCTATAGTAGTAACTTGAAGTTTTTTACAATTTCTAGCAATTTTTTTTTTTTCCATTTAATTATTTTGAGGATATTGTTTTGTTTTCCATGAAAAAACTGATACAGAAAGGCAGAAACTTGCGTGAAATTAAACTTTTGCAACATTTCAATAATGAATCAATTACAAGTAACTGGAATTATACAAAATTTAATAAATAATAATAAATATTTTAAAGTACAAATTTGATTTATAGAAATCTAAACAGTTCCTTAAAGAATAAAGGATTTTACAAATGGTGACATTATTAGAAAGTAATATATCTTCAAATATCTCACATTCGAATAGTAATGTCACTTTTTCTAAATGTATACTACATCAGTTCTTTTAAAATAAGTAAAAATTATTTTCACATGAATTTTTTAAACTACCAACAAAATAAAAGTTCCTTTTGGAATTCAATAAATGTACTTTTAATCATAACCATCGAGTATGAATCAAAATTAATAATATGATAAAGATATCAGTAAAATTACCTGAATTAAAAGTATAGTAATAATATCTTGTTCAAATTGACTTGATGACTGTCTTCTTCACATCACGTATTGCGTAAGACTAAAAGCTTCCTAATAGAAACCTAAAGAAATAGAACAGTTGGTAATCATTAGTAAATGAAAGGCTAAGTTTATATAAGTTAAAAGTACAAAGTAAAAAATTATAATAATAATTATGTTTCTGTGTCAGAGAGAAACCACATTGAGTGAAGCAACTTAGCGATACCTGACTTACTGCTTTATAATCAACTAAAACTTACTACATTCCAGCATATATAAATCTTTCTTGATATTAAATAGAGATAAAAATGTTAAAATATTCCTAAAATTTTTCCAATTATTTTTTAAAAATGGCTTTCAGGAGAAAATGAAAATCCGAAATAATAAGTATTAAATTTATTAATAGTTATAAGTTATTTTATTTTTATTAATTCTATTGGCATTACTGAATTTCATTATCATCTTCATTAATCTTATTGTTGTTATATTTAAAATTTAATTTCAATTTCATTAATCATAATTATTAGAAATTTTGTTTGTAAGTGTAATCTTTTTATTTAATTCTTTTTTTTTTTTGTGCTAAACAGTAAGAATTTTTGTAAGACCCTATATATTGCACTTTCATGACCTTAACAAAAACTAGTGCCACTAGATTTATTGATTTGTAAACGTTATGTGAAGTTGGTGAAGACAAACGTATTAAATTATATCTTATTTTTGCAACCAATTTTCAGGTACTTTCGTCAAAATATATATTTTTTAATAAATGAGTCAAGAATATGATGAATAACTTCTTAGCATTTTAGTAAACTTTGCTTTGCCCAGTTTTTGAAAAGGAAAAGTCAAAATGCTAAGCAGAAATATATCATTATACAAACTGATTTCAAAAAACAAGCTCGATTTTCTCTATACATATAAATAAAATTCATATAAAGAAAGAAGAAAGGAAAAGAAAACTTTTACCATGAGAGCTTATATGAACAATTATGGAATTACACAGCAAAACTATTTTAAAAAATCTCAATCGAATTAGCTGAAAATTGCATTATTGATATAACTTTTTTTTTACTTGACTGTTTGTTTATTAAACTTTGTGTTTTAAAAAGATATGAGCTCAAACATTTTAATCTATTAACGTCCGCAAAACCTAAAACCAATTGTTATTATTTGTGAAAAACGTTGAAAAATTTACTCAGTAGTTGTTCTATTCTTTGAAGACTTTTTTGATTGATTGATTGCACTTCCTATGATTGATTGCACTTCCGGAAGTTCATCACAGTCGAGTACGCCATCTAGGAAGAAGACCGGTTCCATGGCTAGAACCTATTTTCTCTCTTCTTAATATTTTTCGAATTTAAATGTCGCAAATATTTTTTTTAAAATTTCTACGACGCTTTCTTTTGGATCTATGTTCAATGTAGTTTTCAATTCCTTGAAATTTGCAGCGTGCGTTTTCTTAAGTTCCTGCTGTCACATAGTCTACTGATCATAAAACACGTCTCCCAGTAGATCTCCGAAATCAACCATCACTGTCAACGTACAGTGAGAAGAAGAGTGACCAATTTGTGAAGGGACCGAGGATGCACAGTATAGGTTCTCACAAAACTGTAACACAACTGTTTTCGCTAAGTTCTCGACTTGGCACTCAGGTCGTCTGACTACCGAAGCGGATGAGTTATTCCCTCAGCAGAAAATCAAAATTGTGATGGCACGTCTTTGAATCATCCCAAGCGATATTTCTCTGTCTAGATCTAGTACGACGTAAATAAAGTATTACTACTACTTCAACTCTGAATCTGTTGCTACAGGATGGTGCCTATCTCAATACACCAGCGCGAGTGAGGGAATATCCAGTAACAATATCATCGGAAGCACTGTCTACATTACCCCTATTTTAAGATCAAATGGTTCATTTTTCTAGAATACTATAGAACTTACATAGTATATAAATAAGAGGGGAAATGAGCTCTACATCCCACTTTTAACGTTGATCACCTTTCTTACTATAGTGCTACTGGATGAGCACTTCACCCCATTTCAGATCGATGATGTCTCGTTTATAGAATGAGAGCAACACCCCCTTCCTCTATATGGATGAGAGTACACAGGGCCGGATTATACCTTTCGTAGGCCCTAGGCACAGAGCTGGATTATACCTTTCGTAGGCCCTAGGCATAGCCGTTTTTGCCCCCTCCCATTCCTCCCCTCTTTCCCCGCTAAAATTTTCTTGCATATTTTTTTTTACATTTTTATTAATATGGGTTTTAATTTACGAATTTGTTTATCTAACTTTATCTGCAATACCGACATACTGCCGATATTGCAGTTGATATCGATAATACCATTTTTGGTGAAAATTTACTCTTCCGATTTAGAGGAAAACTTTGTAGATGAATTTTTACTATTTTCAAATTTGTATGAGCATAAATCTGCACAAGAAATGTTGAAGGCTCAAATTAAAGATAAACTTGTGAATACTTTTCCTAACGTTCACATTGCATTAAGAATATATTTGTCGATTCTTGGATCAAATGCAGAAGGAGAAAGATCTTTCTCCAGATTAAAATTGATAAAAAATTATTTGCGTTCAACAATGAATCAAGATCGTTTGGCATCGCTCGCACTTATGTCTATTGAATACGACATTTTGCGTAGTTTGGAATTCGACAGCATAATACAAGATTTCGTTGAATCCAAAAATCGCAAAAAAGTAATATATTAGATCATAAGATTCTGCAAAATAATTTATTACCGAAAAATATTATATTTTTATTTGTATCTTCATAATTTTGTGCAAAATACACTTGTTGTTTTTAAAGCTAAATTATTTTTGTCAACAAATTTTTTTCTCCCAAGTTTTTCGTAGGCCCCTGAATTTCGTAGGCCCTAGGCACGTGCCTAGTGTGCCTATAGGATAATCCGGCCGTGAGAGTACATCATCACTGATACGCTCTTAGTAGGGTTGACGTAGCACAGCTCCTTACGCAGCATGATTTTGACTAAACAAATGCTTCTTAAAAATCTTGGGTATTTATTTCTACATAACTATGGATATATTTGAAAACTTTGACGCTAGCTTCTTAATCTAACGCAAGCTTCAAATGAGTTATTCATTGCAAATAATAATAAAAAATTTGCAAAGTGTCCTCCATTACGTTAACTAAATATATGCTCTTAATGCTGCATGAATTACATTAAACAAATTCATCTCAAAAATTTTTTAGCTCTTATTCTTCACATTTACGGATATTTTTGAAAAATTTGACGTTTACTTTGTAATCCGAAGAAAGTTTCAAATGAATTACTCTATGAAAAAAAGCTACAAGAAATTCGCAAAATGTTCCTCTTTATTTTTATATATATGCTCATAACATAGTATTTTTTGAACTAAAAATTGCTCCTTAAAAATAAACGATGCTCACTTTATAATGTAAAACAATTATAAAATTATTTCCTCACTGCGAAAAATTTAAAAAAAAATTACAGATTGTCCTTCATTACGGTATTTATACATATAATACGCTCTTAAAGTGATTAAACAAATTCTTCTTAAAAATTTCGAGTATTTATTTTTTGAAACATACTGGTGTTTTGAAAAAAATGACTCTCACTTTGTAATTTGAAATAAGTTTCAAAAGAATTCCTCGTTGTAAAAAATTATAAAAAAATTCACAAAGTGCCTCTCATTATTTTAAATATATATATGCTCTTAACGTCGCATTGTTTAAACTAAACAGTTGCTTTTTAATTGCTTTTGCTAATTGCTTTTTAAATATTTTGATTATTTCTTTCTTCTAATACATGGGGAGGAGATTTAAATAAAATCGACGCTTGCTTTATAATCTGAAACAAGTTTTAAATGAATTTCCTCTTTGCAAAAAATTATAAAAAGTTCGTAATTTATCTTTCATTATTTTAACTATATTAATGTTCTTAACGTAGCTAACGTTTGGACTAAACAAGTGGTTCTTAAAAGTTTCAGGTAATTACTTCGTCAAATCTGCGTGTATTTTTGAAATATTTGATGCTTACTTTGCAATCTGAAACGACTTTCAAGAGAATTTGTCATTGGAAAAAATTACAAAAAATTTCGCAAAATGTTCTCTGTTATGTAAATCATATACATGCTCTAAACGGTAGCATTGTTTGAATCGAAAATTGCTTCTTAAAAATTTTTTGCAGATATTTCTTCACATCAATGGGAATTTTTGAGAATGGGAATATGTTGATGCTCGCTTTTCTATCTGAAAAAAGTTTTAAGTAATTCATCGCAAAAAATTCTAAAAAAATTAGCAAAATGTTCTCCATTTTATATGCACTTTACAAAGCATGGTTTGGATTAGGCAAATGCATATTAAAAATTTTGGGTATTTATATCTTTACAACTATGGGTATATTTTAAGCAGTAAACACTTTCTTGACCGTGCCACCATCTAAACCATGCCACGTTAAGAGCATATTTATCGATAACATAATGGAGGGAACTTTGAAAATTTTTTATAATTTTTCGCAATGAGAAATTCATTTGAAACTTATTTCCGATAAAAAGTAAGTATCAAATTTTTCAAAAATATCCATACTTGTGAAGAAATAAATACTTAAAATATTTAAGAAGCATTTGTTTAGTCCAAACCATGCCATGTAAAGAGCATATATGAAGTTAACATAATAGAGTTTATATTACGAATTTTTAAAAATTCTTTGCAATGAGAAAATAATTTGAAACTTTTTATGCATATAAATAAAAAAGAAACCCAAACTGTGAATTCTAGANGTCAAAATCATTTGAAACTTTTTTCAGATTATGAAGTGAGTGCCAATTCTTTCAAACCCATATGTGTCAAAAAATGAATACTCATAAAGTTTAAGAAGGATTTGTTTTCTCCAAAAAGCACTACGATTAAAATATATTTATAGTTAACATATTGGAGGGCACTTTGCGAATTATTTACAATTTTTGGAAATAAAGAGTTCATTTGAAACTTGTATATACATATATATATTGTCGTGGAATTATTGGAACTTTCAGAAACGCACAAAAAAGTATAACTGCTCATTTTCAATTCTTTACGAGTTTCTAAAATTTTCAAAATTATTATTTTTTTACCATAATGCAGTTGTTAAAAAATTGATCAAAGTATATTCAAGTCGATATTTTGTTAATATTTTTTTAAAAGTAATTTTCGAAAAAGATCACTTTTTTAAATTCTAAGCATTAGTTCATATTATAAATATTCACATGTTTGCTTATAAGCTTTAATTCGATGATTTGCATCAAATTACTTAAATTTCTACTTCGTTTTCTGAAGAGAAAGAAAAATTATATCTATCTTCCTTCCTGTTTTCTTCGAAAACCTACTTCCGTTTATATAATTTCCTCTTATCATCACTTATAAACTCAAACTCTTTTTCTATTTTGGAAAATTGTATCGGTGTAAAACATCAGATGAAAATTTGAATCAGAACGATAATTATACAAACGGAAAAGTCAGGAGCAGTTGATTTAATTTAATTAAATTTATTCTTAGTTACACCTGTGCTCTATTTATTCTTTATGAATGATGCAGAAAGTTAAATGAATAAATGATCAAGATTGTTTGTTAATTTCATTCGATTTCTTATTTAATAGTTACGTTCAAGTTTACAGGATTATATAGTTCGAAACTGTTTGATTTATGTATTCTTTTTTGAACTGTATTCATATTCTTCTTATATCCGCATTTATAAACAGTCATCGATCTCTCAACTATCATAGGTATAAAGTAGAACTTGTTGTCCTGCTATAGCCTTATATCTAGTTCTCCCCGATGGGAAATTTTCCTAATATTTGATCTAGTTCAGCGGTTTCCAATTTTTTACGGTTACGGATTCCTAAATAATCGAGCTTCATTTGGTGGAACTCCAAACATAAAAGTAAAATTTACTAGCAGCCATGAACATATTGGCCAAAGAAAGACTATAAATAGTTTTGATAATGTTAAATCTAACGAATGGGAGTCGAGGTGGCTCAGGGAATAAAGCATTCACCTTCCATTGAGATGAACCGGGTTCGAATCCTACACTCGGCTCGCACCGACCACAGGGCTGACATAAAATATCCTCAATGGTAGACGGATCATGGGAAATACTTTTTGATGAAACTAACGAATTTTTGGGTTTACTACTACTACTAATGTTTAACTACGTAGCCTTGTAATTTTGAACCCCATCCAAAAGACAAGAGAACTTCTGGATCAAGT